TTTCACCAGATGGTACAGAAAATTGAATAGTATTTCTAAATCGAAGAAAAAAAATTTGATTATTTTTTTCATTTTTCACGATTTTTTTACCATCTACACGGGAAGGCTTATATGAAACTCTCGGAGACTCGGTATAATGCACAAATGAGTTAAAATAAATGAGATACTAGCCAGAATTGAAAATAAATTTGATACTTGAACGAATTGAAAATAAAAGTGATACATACCACTTTTATTTTCAATATCTTTCAAGTATCAGATTTATTTTAAACGCGAGTTAGTATCTCATTTATTTTAATTCATCGTCTTGTATCAGTATTTTTTTAAATAATGTTTGGAGCTCATGATTATTCTCACCCATTCAATTGTCTCTCGTTTAGCTCAACAATTCCAAAATTTTGGTATTTATTTCATAAATTTTCGGAGAAAACAAAGAAAAAATTGGCGATCAAAGACACGCTCACACATTTCATGTATTCGAAATTTCATTTTTATCTTTCTGGAAAATTTCATATGCACTGTTCAAACCGTGTATATAACGCAAACATTGTGTGTTTATGATGTTTATTGTCCTTGTCGTCTTCCCGTTTAGCTGATTTCGTTCCAATTTTTTTTAATAGATTTTTGACAAATATATTTTTTTTAAGAAATAGATTTCTTTTTATCTGTCACTAAAAGTACAAAATTGGATTTTTTCTATAGCAAATATTCATCTTGTGCTTTTAATTTGTTGATTTAAATTAACACAAATAAAATTAAATTGAATATAAATTAAAGTTAGGCTCATTACATCTTAGACATACTGATTTTTTTTTATAAAAAAAAACCAAAAATCAACTTTTTAGTATTGGAAGGAATTGGCGGTGTGCCAAATATTCGGCCACTGGAAACGTTGCACAATGCATTGTCGCTGAAGCAATTGGACGCATTTTTGGAGAAGATGACCACCACAACCATATTTAAAACGCCAGCATCATCACCGCCAAAATATCCATCGACGCCATTATTGACACCGACGCAAACTCCACACAACTCCCTGACCGATAAACCCGGACCGTTGTCATGTAAGTTATCAAAGGATGAAAACGATGTAGCTGAACGAAAACGGGTGGAAAAAGACGAAACGAACAGTTTTTGATACGATTTGCACGAATTATGTAGACAAAATAACAAATTTTCGGTCATTCATATTCGCTTCCATCGTCTCCATTTTTGACTGTACATTTACTTGATATCTTAGTTTGCATAGAGAGAGAGAGAAAGAGTTGGGGAGAGATTGCAGCTTCAGCTCATTATCCATTTTTAGATACGATATGTGCTTAACATTAATCTAGTTATACTATATAGTTTATATATATATCAAGTTATATTTTACCAGTTACCTCGTTATGTCAATATGTCATCCAATAGGTTTTAGATCTATTTGCATATCGTTGCCTCCAACAATCATTTTAATCCAGTTTCTCTGTTTTGCTGAGAAGATTTTTTGAAGTCCAACCTTTTATATTTAAATAATTATCGTTAATTTATTATTATTATCATTATTTTTGGAGCAGTTAAATGTTATATATCGAATAAGATAGTTTTAGATTGCAAGAACACAACCAAATTTTCCTTTCAAATTGAAAATAAAAAGACAACTGAATTTATGTATGGAACCCATCTGAATATTTGCGTTTTCTGCTTCTTGTGCTCATTCATTTTATTTGTTCACATTGCTCTTCGTCGTCGTCGTGGTTCGGTTTATTTATTTGATTATTTTTGGCGAATTTTGTAGTTTAACTCGCGAAAAAGCATGGCATTCTGAATTTAAAAAAGGCAACACATTTTTATAAGTTTTGATTTCATTTTCCACCATGTTTTGAAAGGTAGGTTAGAGAATTCGCATGATGGGTGATGGGTATTTCATTTCGTTGAAAATTCCGTAGTTTTTGGTGCATTTCTTTTTTCCAATTTTCTTCCAATATTGTATTTTCAATTTGGTATTTGGTTTCGGTGATGCATTATGGAAACAGGTTGGAGCGGTCAATCTAGCATGACTGGAAGTTTAAGTGCAATGTCTAGTGGGGGGCCGTCAAGTCCAGAAAACAGCTACAGCACCCGTAGCGAACTATCTACAAGCATCATAAGCAGTGAAAGGTAAGCATTTGATTTCAATACTTTTTTCTATCAAATTTAGTTTGTTTCTAAATCGATATATTCTTCCATGTTGAATAATTCTTTTTCAATGTTGCAGTGTGAATCTTCCATCCGTCAATGAATTGTCGCAAATGTTTCCAACACTGGATGGTGAGCTTGGCTCTGTGGCCAATCATTTTCGTTTTGACCATTTAGTGGAGACAGTGAACGAGTGTGCCGAATGCATTGAAAGTGAATTAAAAACGCCGCTACAAAATGAAAAACAATTTCCAGCTTCGAGCATTGACCACGTCACCAGTGTGCCAGACGAAGAAGACGAGGAGCCAACCTTATCAACTGACTTTGCGTCAAATCAAAAAGAGTCCATATTTACCAGTCACTCCGATGGAGTCGAAAGCGAAGCGACAAAACTATTAGAAGCCATAATTAATAAAAGTCCACCAAAACGGCGTCCCGAAAAATTAAGCACCATCTCAAAATCCACACTGGCCCGCAGCACAAACTATCAAATACAAAAACAAACGAGTTTGCATGGCGGTGAAGGAATGCCCACAACAACAACAACAAGTCGTGAGAAACAACGAGATTCGATTAATCGTTTTCCACGCCGTAATTTTGAATATTCACGTTTTATGTCGGTCGATCAGCGTTCCCAGTCTGATACCGAAGATAATGTTGCCATTATTGAACCGGGTCATATGAAAACCATAGATAGTAAAACACAATCGTGTGCAAATTTAAAACTATCGTCTACATCACCACGTTCGCCGGGTGCCCTTGTCGTGAAGGAAAAATACATCGAACTTCCAAAGCATGTGGCTCAGAGTATTCGATCAAATGCATCATCATCATCAAGGGATCAAGAGCCCGATACCAAATCCACATCACTGACATCGTCGACGGAGTCTATAGCACGATTGTCAGTAAAAGTAACGCCAAGATTCACCACAATCAAAGTGGACGAATCGCAATTGGGTGCCTCAGTTTCAAAGGAAGTCCAAAATAAATAACAGAAAATGAGACAATAATTCACGTTAAATTAAATTTTATTTTGTCATTATGTTTTTTTTTTTCTCGCAACTAACCGCTATTTACACTTTGAAAAGTATGTTATTTTTTATTATTATAGTATTATGTAAATCAAAGTATTATTTTATTCCGCTGTTATGATAGTGAAACTTTTAATGTGCATCAAATGTGAGATGGAAGCCAAAATTATTGAAAATAACACAACGCTATGATATTGCGTTCTAAATGAATTCCTGCTGTTTTATTGTTTACTTCTATTAAACAGAGTTTTACATTTTGGCCCATTTTTTTCTTGTTGTTCAATATTGTTGCATTCGTTTAAATGACATAAATCTAATCGAATGAAAATCATCTTATATATTCAATATACGCAGATCGGTTCTGTATATGTCATTTCATACAATTTATTTCGAAATAAATACCATTCAGCTTGTTCGATTGCTCGGCGATTTTTACTGGCTTTTACGTGATTCTTTTTGTTGGTTTTGTTGTTCTTGATTTTATGAGGTGTGAACAGTGAACTTATGAACGTCGGAACAAGACACTGTGCAAAGCATCAATATCAATCTCAACTTTGCTGGTTTTGGTCAAATTGCTGAAAATTGAAAGGAAATAATCGATTAGATTTCAATGGAATTGATTTGCGTAAAATATACTTCAGTTTTGAATTGATTTCGTTAAATTACCTTTTGGTTGGTTTGATGGCTGGGGCAGTTGGTTTGTTTGAAGAACGTGGATTGACAAGTAGACATTTCATTGGCTGACCATCCAGTTGTCGATTATGGTAAGTATCAACAGCAGTTTGAGCATCTTTCAATCTTTCAAAAATGACTTCAGCTACGCCAGTGCGTACAAGCCGTGCATCAAGCAACGGGCCCACATCTTCGAACAATTCCTGCAAAAGACGAAAAAATTGGTTTTAATAAATATCGAAATTTTACTTCAAAATCAATTTCCGTCCAAATCAAAGGGATCAATTTGTCACAATATTTACCTTAATATCGCTCTGACTGACGCTGCTATGTAGATTACTGACAACAATACGATAACCAGCGCTTGTGATTTGACGTTCGCGTGAGTTGCTAATGTATGGATTTGAAAAGATGCCAGCCGATTGTGTGGCGTCTGGTGCTCGTTGCAAACGACTGCGCATCTCATGGGACAAATGTGAATTCTCATCGGCAATATACCGTTTGGATAAATCGCTGCCACTCTTATATTGTGATGGGTACGCACGTTCGTACTCAACTTGACGAATGGTTTGTTGTGGATATGAATCCATTTGAGCGCCAAGTACTGATCGATTCAAGTTGCGTGGCTCCGACACGTCATACGGACGCGCCACTGGCACCTCATAGCAATCAAACGGATCGGCTTCGTAGTCTTTCGGTCGTGTGGTTGCCATGCGACGTGGTGGCTCAATATATTTGAATGTTGGCAATGGTGGCATTGTGCTGCTTGGCACATATGCAATCTCATTTTTGACCGTACGTCTCAAATTGGTCGATGTTGGGAAATACTCCATATCCACATCCATGGATGTATCATTAGTGGCTGAAGTGGCAGCGGCTGCCATACGCTGGTATGCTGGTGTACGTTTAAACGGTACAGTGCTAGCGGCAGCGGCACGTTTTGTTTTCAAAGAAACGCCCGCATTTGAATTTTGATTTGGTGTACGACGTAATGCATTTACTGCACCATCTAATTCGCCAAATTTCTTCAAGAATTGAATATTTTTCTGAAGCAATTTCAAACGTGCGTCACCGTTACGCTTCGCAATTTGGGCCAATTTGTCTCTGGCATCATGGATTTTTGCTCGATTCTTTTGGATGATTTTGTTTCGTGCATCAAGTACCGGTTTGGCTTTACCCACTTTTGCAACTGTAAACTTTTTCACCGCACCTCCACCGGTACCAGAACTAAAAATAGAAATGAAAACAACAACCGTTATTAATCATTTTGCCAATATTGAATTATTTCTAATAATAATAAGAAGAAAAATTATTTGTTTTTTAGTACTTACATTGGTTTCTTGGTTTTGGTCACCTTTTTGGTGCGGAAACCACTTTTTGTGATCTTTTTCTTCTTGATAATTTCGTCGAGACTCAAACCAGATGCATCCATTTTACACAACTCTTTTTTTTAAACGTAGCGAATACCCGAAAACAATGTTAATCGATTTATTTTCTCTTTAAAAACAAATTCACTTTTTTTAATGTCGAAACAACACTGCTGCACTAATATTACAACGCCGCACTGAATATCAAAATGTTATGAGCCGAAATAAAAATGTATGTAATTGGATCGATTGAAAATCGGTGTAACTTCTTGAAGTGTTCACAAGTGAATGATATTTTCTCAAAGGATGGACCTACTTAAATACAGGATCGATGCACATTAGGAGCTGTTTGTAATTTGCCAATGCACCGAATAGTTTGGTGAGTCTGACAGGTAATTATGCATATACTCATTACGTAGCGCATTTTTCGTAATACATTTGACAGAATTTGGTGTTGCCCGACGCAAAAAACGAAAGCACAAATGAAACGAGTGAGAAAATGATGAAGACAGAGAGAGACAGAGAGGCGAAAACAATCAATAAGTCGTTGAATCGCTTATTTTGGTCATACTTATTTCCTGGTGGTTTCTATAATTGTTGACATTTTTTGCTCATTATTTGCAGCATTTTATCGAAAAAAGAAAATTCAGTGTTGAAAATTATAAAAATAGACAGGAAAAACCGAGATCCAAACAGTTAAAGCAAGTTTACTTCAAGTTGTGTATTGTGTTCTGTCCCAAAATATCGACTGAAAAAAATTGAACGCAATAATTGGTGTTGGCACGTGCGAAAAGTGAAACTAGAAAGTAGTATGTTCAGTGTCAAAAACGTTTCATGTGACATAATATTTTTGTTTCAATCGCTCACATCAGTCAATAGAGAGAAACATCAAACTCAACACCAACAAAATATTTCGTCAGACACAAAAGAAAAAGACATTATTCAACGATATTTTTTTCCTTATTCCACAGTTATTTGAAATTTGGTGGAAATAATATCGAATAGAAAGAACTAAAAACTTTGAAAAAGGAACGAAAAAAATTGCCCAAAAAGAAAGAAAAGAAAAGAAAAACACATAAATAGATTTTAAGTGTACAGAATATTCAATGAAGTATTTGTAAATTGTTAGTTTGTTTTACTTTTGTAAATTTTCTCTCTCTTCATCATCTGAATTTAATTTGTTGATGCGAACGCTTGTGTCTGCTTCGCTTAGTTTATTTAGTACTACGACATTTTTTTTTTTCATTTCAAAGGAAAAAGTGTTTTCAAACGTGATAGAAACAAGTAAATTAATATAGGTTCCAAACCAGATATAGTAAATAAGCGTGAATTGGTTATGGAAGAATATTAATCCATACGTAAAAAAAGCCATCCATGAGTCTTTCGAGAGAAATGAAAAAAATTGCAGTTGTATTTACTGCGTCAATAACAAACGAAAACGTCATTTTATAAATTTCATGGGCAATTCGATTAGTCGAAGTGCAAATCAATCAGCACACGAAAATCAACCAAATACAAATTCAAATCGCATTCGATTCTCCGAGTCATTGTCGTCATTATCGAATTTCACAAACAAATATCGCTTCGGATCACGTAGATCGTACTCGCTGTCAACCATTGATCCAATTTTCAATCAACATCAAGAACAAACAACAACACGACCATTACCAAAATCATCATCGCATCAGGTAATTAGTAGCATTCATTGTTTTGTTCATTTTTTGTTAGGAATAGAACCAAAATAAAGACGATTCTTTAAAAAAAAATCGATTGAACGAATGAAAAAAAGAAGCGCATTAAGCATAGATTTATGGCTTTACAATCCCTGATGCCCTTAAAAATGGATGGTTTTTTTTTCTCATTTTCACTTCGCATTTGTTTCGTCGTTGAGGTGTGATTAACGCTTGTGTGCGTATTTGTGTGTTTTATTTTCGACGAAAAAAAAACAGCAATACAACGCTAGACATTGAAAACTAACAATGTTTTTGTAATACGAACAAATCTATTTGACCAGTGACCAGAAAGAGACAACCGTATGTGCGACGAGAATGCGTGCTTGATTTGTTTTCAACACATTAGAACATATTGTATTTTTTGTCTCGTCATTACGATTTGTGTTGTCACAAAATTGTCTCATCGCGTCTTTTGTCTCGCTCGCTCGCTCCCTCTAATTCATTTTTCTTACCTTCGAATGCTTTTGCGTCGATTTTATAAAAATATGCTAAATTTTGATTTTATTTGCTATTTATTATCATCAGCAATATTGTGAATGATTCTAGAATTAGATCTTATATGAATACATTTTTCGAAACTATTATTTAAAATTGGATTCCAGAACAATATTTTTGGATTTTTTTTATTATTTTGGTAGTAATCTGTTGTGAAGAAAAAGAAACATATTTTTCAAAATGTGTGTAAAATTTTCAATGAACAAAAATATTTGAAAAAAGTCCAATTAATAATGAAAAAACACAAAATGACACCAAAATTAAACAAAACTAAAGAAAAAACAGAAAAAGAAGAAACAAAAGAAGGTAAAGATAACATAAAAGGAAAAATACAAGGTATCAAAATTATTAAATTTACCTTCCATGAATCAATACCACATACTTTTTTCTGCGCATGCTCATTTGTACCGTTGCGAGTTTCATCGACCATACCTTCATTTTCATCTTTCGCTTTTCTGTCACAAATTTAATCAATTATTACAAAAATTCAGTATAAAGATTTGAAAAAAATAAAAAAAATTACTTATAAATAGCCAAAAACTCTCGAAAATTCAATTTTCCGTCGTTGTCTACATCAAATTCGGCCATAATAGATTGTAAACCATCATGTGTGTATGGTACTTTTGATTGCACCATCATTTCTTTTAGCCCACCCTCAGTCAAAAAACCATTAATATTGTAACTGGAATTGAATTAAAATACGAACTTTTATTGGAAGTATAAATATATAATGTCGCATTTTTTTCAAAATTTGAACGTTTATTGAGAAAAAGGTTGTACAATAGTGTTATTCAAAGTATTGCCCATCACTAGCCACTTCTTTTTCCCATCTTTCTGGTAGCATACGGATTCCGTGTCGGAAGAACTGTTCATCTTTTGATGCGATGAATGAATCGACCCAATTTTTGACTTCTTCAGAAGAAGTAAATCGTGTATCAGCCAGGTTGTCCTGCATCGATCGAAACAAGTGATAATCAGAAGGAGCAATGTCTGGGCTATACGGCGGGTGGGGTAGCACATCCCATCGAAGTGTTTCCAAGTATGTCTTCACGACATTTGCAACATGTGGCCGAGCATTGTCATGTTGAAGAATAACTTTGTCGTGTCTTTGCTCATATTCTGGCCGTTTTTCGCGAAATACGCGGCTCAAACGCTTCAATTGTAATCGGTAGCGTGGCCCATCAATGGTTTCATTCGGTTTCAGCAGCTCATAGTACACCACACCTCGTTGATCCCACCAAATACACAGCATTACCTTAAATCCGTGGATATCTTGCTTTGATGTCGATGGTGCTGGTTGGCCGCGCTTCACATATGCTTTTTTTTGCTTTGGGTTATCGTAATGAATCCACTTTTCATCACCAGTGACAATACGATGCAAAAATCCCTTTCCTTTCTGTCTTTGAAGCAGCTGTTCGCAGGTGAAATATCGTCTTTCCACGTCTCTTGGCTTCAGTTCATGTGGTACCCAATTTCCATGCTTTTGAATGAATCCTGCTGCTTTCAAACGTTGTGAAATGGCTGCTTGAGTGACTCCCAATGATTTTGCAAGTTCTTCTTGAGTTTGACACGGATCTTCATCGAGTAATGCCTCCAATTCTTCATCTTCGAACTTTTTTTCTCTTCCGGCACGCTCCTTGTCTTCGACATTAAAATCACCATTTCTGAAGCGTGCAAACCAACGCTGACACATTCTTAAGTCTATAGCATAGTCAGGATAAGCTTCAGTGAGTAAACGATGTGCTTCAGATGCATTTTTCTTCAAATGGAAAAAGTAAATTAACACTTCCCGCAAATGATCTTTTGATACCACGAATGTCGACATTTTCACCGTAATAAAAAAATTTTGTGTGTAAACTTGTGTTCATTGTGACAGATGGTTTTTAATAGATTTTTTGACGCTCTTTAAGATACAATAGCTGTCAATGTCAAAACAATGGTACATATAATTGATGTGAAGTTAGATACGAATGCGACATTATATATTTATACTTCCAATATCATAAATAAGAAAAAAATGCTATGAAAATATGCAAAAGGTCACTTAAATCGACAGAAAATTTGGATTTCTGAAGGTTCTAATATATACAACCATATTTCTTTAAATTTTCAAAAACTTACCGTTCGAAGATATTTTGATAACTTAAAATTTCCTCTTTCGACAATTCTTTAAAATCTGTATAAATTGTTTCCATTTCGATCATTGTGACGAAGTTTTTTGTGACTTTTTTTTATTGAAAATGTACTTATCAAACGTTGAATATATCAAAAAATTGTATATGGTATGCACTTAAATGACGAATAGATTTTTACTATGTAGAAAGGTAAAATTTATTTCAAATCGAAGTGAAAACATGGACGCCCAAAAGACAAATGGTATCGAAAATTGCTGTTCATATAACGCACGCGCATTTTTGAAAGGTGGGGGGAGACAGAATATGAGAGATTCATTATATTATCATTGTATTAGTATCAGTGAGTTTTATCATATCATTGCAGTTTCGAAATGAAATGTTCCCCTTTAATCAGGTCTCACTTATCGACGTCTCTGCGAAAAAATTCAGATTAATACAAATTAGATGAGAACATATGTCCATTCGTTTGGAATAGGATTTTCAAAAAAAAATCCGACTCTTCAAAAAAGCAATTGGAATGAATGAAAAAAAGAGGCGCATTAAGCATTGGTTTATGGTTTTACAATCCCTGATGTCCTTAAAAATGGTTGGACTTTTTTTCCCATTTTCACTTCGAATTTGTTTCGTCGTTGAGGTGATTAACGCTTGTATGCGTATTTGTGTGTTTTATTTTCGACCAACAAAAAAAAAACAACGCTAGACATTGAAAACTAACAAATGTTTTTGTAATACGAACAAATATATTTGACCAGTGGCCAGAACGAGACAACTATATGTGCGACGAGAATGCGTGCTCGATTTGTTTTCAACACGTTAGAATATATATTGTGTTTTCTGTCTCCTCATTACGTTTTGTTGTCACAAAATTGTCTCATCGCGTCTTTTGTCTCGCTCGCACACTCCCTCTAATTCATTTTTCTTACCTTTGACTGCTTTTGCGTCGATTTTATAAAAAATGCTAAATTTTGATTTTATTTGCTATTTATTATCATCAGCAATAATGATTCATTTCGCAATATCTAAATGGAGTTGGCGCTATATGATTATTTTTTTTTCTTCATATAAAATAAAACTTGAGACGTTGATTGTGCTTTGTCGTGACACACAAAGAAGGTCATATCTGCATATTGAATGCATTGCCAGGGAGAAAGTCACTTTTGACATTTGCATTCTACATTAGATTCGCACAACATTATACAAAGAAACTAAGACATAATTATTTAGAAAGTTACCGACATCAAGCACTGCTATTTGGTGTATGTGTGGCATGAGAAGCTATTTGAATGTTTTTGTGAAGTTGTTTTTGTCACAAAATCAGCTGTTTGTCTTTCATCTATATTTCATTCAAAAAAAAAAATTCTTTCTGTCTATTTCGATCGCCTGCTTTCTATAATTTGCTTTACCGTCGATCTTATCAAAATATTCCAAAATTTAGCATACAAACCTCAGAAAAAAACAACAGAAAAATAGATAATGAAAGATGTAAACACCATTGTTATTTACATATTATTCTGATGATTGTTTATCACCTTTTTTCTCTCTCTTACAGCGTTTTGCACGAAGTTTGGCCATTTTGAATCGTAACGCATCGAATTTGATTAGTCGCAGTCACAGTCATCTAGTGAATTTATCAAGATCATTACCACACGTTGCTTTGCCCCGATTTTTAACCAGGTAATCCATTGACGAATCGCATTAAAATGGTACATTTTCTAAAACATAAAATTATTTATAACATTCAACAGATCAACATCGACACTATCGCCGGAGGAGTTAGCCTTTTCAAGTCGAAGCATTTGGCCGACGCCAACGATTGTACTACTATTTTCACCGCAATTTAAGCGTATCAATCTCGCTTATCTGCATGAAAAGTACGAATTTCATGGAATAATTGCATCTGGGGCATTTGGAACTGTCGTTCGTTGCATCGATCGCAATGAAAAGAAAGAATATGCACTAAAAGTTCTCGAAAAATCTCAGGTAACATACAGTCAGCGAATACTAAAACGTGCATTTCTATTTTAAATTAAAAAAAAATATGTTAATACCGTAACTTCCGTTGATTAGATCATCAGAGATAAAGCAGTGCGTCAATTAAAGAATGAAGTGGACATCCAAAGCGTTTGCGGCCACAATACGTTCATTGTTAAGTTGATATCATTTTGGCAATCACACCGAGAAATTTATTTGCGTAAGTTGAAATCGCTTTTGATTCGGTCAATTGATTTGATTAGCTCAAATAGTGTTAACTGTGTTCGTTCGTTTTTTTCTTCTCCTTTTCAAAATTCTTCAGTGTCCGAATACATTGGTGGCGGCGAATTGTTTGATACGATTCGTAAATTTCCCTACAAATTGATACAATTGTATGTGGCCGAAATAGCGTTGGCTCTTGGTAAATATGTTCATTCACAAAAAAAACTCAATTTTATTCATTAAATAACGTGTAAAATTTAACTTATTATATTATGTTTTTATAGACTTCCTACATAACGCCGGCGTAATTTATCGCGATTTAAAGTCCGAGAATATTCTTCTTGACGACAAATTTCACATCAAATTGACCGATTTTGGGCTGAGTAAATTTTTAAAAATTGGACAAAGCACTAACACAATCTGCGGAACGCTACAGTACATGGGTACGGCTTAATATTTAAACATTGCACACAAGATTAACCAAAATACCAAACACACTCACATAGACACAGATACAATAACTAAAACGAAATAAGCAAAATAAAAAAAATCAACAAATCCAATCATCCAAATAATTGACAGACAAGTGTGCATCGGAAATAAAGCGACGCAAAAATGAATGCACGATCGCAAGTATTTGAATTGGCAATGGAAGGCCATATGGTCGACGAGGCATTAGCCAGTATCTTTCATACGATTCTATTTCATCGAAGTTTAGGGAAATTTGTATATAATGGCGAGACCACTTATTCAGTTGGTTCGGTTGGTTTTACCGATGTCGATTGCAATTTCTTTGACATGACCTATGTTTGCTGTACATGCGAAGCCCTCGATAAAATGCTTAAAGACGAAATTCATGCATTTAGCGAACAATTGCGCAGCAATGATAGTCTTGGCGCCGGTCAAATAACGTTAGAATTTTTTGAAAAGAAAAAACGTTGGGTGCGCACACCCGAATCTGTACCATGGGAAATTTGGACCGTTCATATGGAATTAATTCATGTTAACGATCCGGATGAACGTTGCTTTGAACGCGAACGGGTTGGTGAACTGTTGACCGATAAAATTCTTTACATCTCAAATTTGATGAACAAGCAAGATTATTTGCCGAAAATGCCTAGCCAATCTGAATTGGACTTTGTGTTTGATACATCATATGAAAGCGTACAACCGTATTTATTTAAATGTAAATACAGTACGGCCGGACCGAGTGAATCGTCCGTCGGACATTCAATGAAGAAATTCATTAAAGAAACCCTCTCGCTTTGACTATTAGCAATTCGAATTGTGCTACAATACTTCCTCATGTTTTAGAATTTATTTCATCTTTTTTTTAATTGTCGTACATAAATGTTAATTTTTTTTACTACAAAATTCAAATTAGCGAGTATTTTATATACTGGACACATACATTTATATATTTTTTCTATTTTCTGAAGAAAATTTAACCATTTTTTTTAAATTCAACTCCAATTTGAAATCCACTATTTTTCATTTTTGATATACACGTAATTTTGTTCTCATATCGATTAGATTGCTATTTGTAAGTGAAAAATAATAACAAAAAATAAAAATAAAAACAACACACAAAAAAAATATCATGAAAAATGTTCTCTGTAGAAATTAAATTTATGCAATTTAACAAGAAGAAAATATATTTAAAAAAAAAGAACAAAGAAGAGCAAATGAACAAGTTTGTTCAGCGGGTATCTCGCCAACTTGTTTATTTTCATGCAATCAAATCAACGCATCATAGCCAATTCCAAAGATTTTTTGGCGGCCTGATAAAAACATAAAATAAAATGTCTTACATCCGTAAGATGAACTTTTCCGCACTGTGATCCACGACATGAAAGAAAACTAAATCTGACATTAGTTTTAGATAAAAATAATTTTCGAAGCACTTTTCTTACAAAAACTACTAAAGATGGGAGTTTTTGTATCGGAGCCATGCCTATACGATATCGTAATCATGTGAAAATTTGCAGAGGTTATTTTTTTCACAAAAAGTTAACATTCTGAAAGTTTGAAGAAATTTCAATGCATATTAAGGGTACTTCCCATACAAAATTTCGTTTTAGAGCGAAAAATCCAAAATATTGTTCGGGAGGTGCCCCTAATATTCGTTGAAATGTCTTCAAACTCTCGGAATAGTATTTATGTGTGATAAAAATAACCAGTGCAAAGTTTCAGCTCATTACGATATCATACAGGCATGGCTTCCATACAAAAATCCAAATTTTTTGAATTTTTTGTATGAAAAGTGTTTCGAAAGTTGATTGTATCGCAAAACTAACGTCATATTCGGTTTTCTCGTACCCAAAAACCCCCCAATACACATTTTTGAGTGTTTAAGAATACATTAAATATCACTTTTGGAAGAAAATTTGAATTTTTCCCATGGATGGACATGGGCATCACACCAGACAGGACACTTTACCCTGTCAACCAAAGTCGCTCAAAATCTAATGGTTTCTATTCCTCGGCACCCCCAATCATCCTGTGAAGTCAGATTTTGAATTACTTTTCTTGTTTGAAAGTTATCGTGTTAACAAATTTTTGCGTACAGGGTACAGCGTACAGGGTACAGGGTACAGGGTACAGGGTACAGGGTACAGGGTACAGGGTACGCACATACATTCGGACATCGAAAAAACGCTAGATTCGTGTTCCCTGGCCCCAAAAACACCCAGAAAACACATTTTTTATGGGTGTTAATTTTTCGACCGATTCCAATACTTTACCTTACACACTAGGTGTGTGCGGAAAAGTAAAAATACAACTATCCACAACTTTTTTTGTTTGTGCTTAGAAACAGAGATACAACTAAGTGTAGATTTACTTCGATTTAATGTGATTTAAAAACAAAACAAACAAAAAAAATATATGAAAAATCAACTTTTAGAATTATGAACTACTCGTGTATATTGCTGTTCATAAATACGGATTTAAAAATAAATGTATTAATCTTAGAAACAAATTGGAAAGTAACTACCAGAAGAGACACTTTAACCATATCGAATTGAAAGTTGAACATGAAAGAAAGGGACAGTGTCGTGGCCAAGAACATGAATTGAGACGAAATTTGATTCCATGAACCAAAATGTGTATCGACCAAAAACAATGGCGGAAACCTTATTGAGTGTATAAAGTGATAAAAACTCAAATAGAGAGCTCTCGTCGATGTCACTTATTTCTCTTTTCCAAACTGGCTTCTCATCGAAGAAAATAAAGATAATTGATCAAACAATGTGTATAGATAGTATGATTGTGATCTGAAGAATGAGCTTTCAAATGAACCCAATTTAATTCGATTTAATTCGAGTTCATCATTCAATTCGATATGGTTACTATGGTCACAAGAAATGAACTTGATGATATGTCACATCGCAGCTCTGGATATACATATGCAGTGAAAAAAAGTAGACGAGTGACAAAAAGGAATACAACATTACAGTAGTACATAAAATAAAATAGAAATACCATAAACATATAGGTGTAATTTATGTATTGTCATAAGAATAACCGCAACAAATAACAAATTGTACAAGAAAAACGAAGATGAGTTGCAAAAACAAGTGAATAAACAACAACAAATGTTTTATATTTATTTTAATGAATTAATCGAAATGAAAATGATTCAAAATGAATTAAAATTTTTCTATTTAACAAAAATCAAGTAATGTCAATTGTTTTCACTCTATTACGTCCCCATTTCTGCGAAAACTTCTTGTGTTAACACCGTTTTTTTTTTCTTTTTTTGTTCTGTATAAAACTTTGTTTGGTGTTTGGGATCTTGAGTCAATGTTAATGCTCTATGTGGTAAGTATTGAATAGCAATTTTAAAATTTCTTTTTTTTGTTTCCTTTTTTACGCAAACAGCGCCGGAAATTATTTTGGGAATTCGCAGCGGAAATTTTGTTACCTATGATCATTCGGTAGACTGGTATGCGCTGGGAGTAGTCGCGTGTCGAATGCTTACAAATCAGGTACGAATAATATTTTGATTGATTCGTCATTCAAGGCTTTTCAAAGAGAAAAAAAAATTGATGAAAAAATTGCTCAATCACTCCAGCTCCCCTGCGGTCTTTTTTAATTTGAAATAAACCACTTTTTTTAATTATTTAGTCACATAATTTATTCTGTACGACAACAAAAGTAGCATTCAATTCCGTTTTTCGGCATGTTTCCTTATTTTCGATGAAATTTCCATAAACAAACATCTGAAAGTAGAAATTCGAAAATTGAGAAAAAAACACTTTGAAGAAAGCAATTTTCACCCCAATTAATACTAACTAGAAATCGTGACATTTTTTTTTGGATAAAGTTACTTTTTCCCGAAAGGACCCAAAAGTTCTTTGCAGTGAAAGCAGACTGTCCTATCTTTGTCGTGTATAACTACAACAATTTTACACTTAGAACAAAACCGTAGCTCATATGGTTTTGATTCGATAGCCTCCATTTTTCGTTTGATATGTACACTTTCAAGGACAAAAATGGAATAATACCATGCAATCGCAATTGCAGTCGAAGTCGAAAAATAAAGTTCATCAATTGAAAAGATGAAAGCATTGCGAATTGTGTTATACAAATATTTGAGTTTATTTTTGAATTAAATGTGTCATCATTCGATTTATTGAAATATTTAATAAATACTTCCGATTATAAACAAGTGGCTGTTTATGAAACATTATATTCAATTTCAAAATTTACAAAATCGACATAAATCAACTGAAATGTTTATTTCTTGCAGATAATTTTGTATTGAACAAAATCGTCGTAGAATCAAATTAAAAATCTCAAACCCGGTGAGGCTGACGTCATCGTACACTATACATTCTAATAGTTTCTTGTGTGGTACATAATGACATGGCACTAAATCCATCAATGAATTTGCGTAAATGCCCAAATTCCAATTACATGTACACGCACGTGCACAGAATCCGAAATCAAAGTACGGAAGCCACAAACAGTGCAAGTGAAAAATGAACATTTTTAAAATCAAATCGCGATCATGATTTGCATTCATTTCAAACATCAACCACTTCCTAATAGACGTCGTTGACAGCAGAAAAAAATCTATTTGCCAACGTATAACACAATAATTCCATAATTGCGTCCATTAATTTCAAACTAAAAAAATATCATACACACACTCCGTTCGCCATTCTAGCAAGTGTTGTAATTTTGTACGCTAATTATAAACGAAAACCCGTTTCAATGCTGAACGATGTCGGGTTTGATCTTTTGTTTGTTTAGTTCTTTTATTTGGCTATCATATCATTGTTCAGGCTGTCATTTTGGTTTTGAGCGGATAATTTACAAAGTTTATCAGACTTTTCTCTTCTTTGTTAATAATGTGGGATGCTTGTAGGTCAACGATAAATTGAATTTTAACGATAAAAAAGTGTACATATTTTTGATATTGTGTGATTGAATGTCGCACATCACAAAGAACGACGCCACAAAATGTTTGCGTAGCATTTTGCTGAATAGCACGTTTGATCGTATAATAACAACTATCGGATGATTCATAGCCCTAATTACGTATATATAATATTAATCAAAGTTACTTTTCTGAATTTTAAATAAACACTTTGAATCGCAATATAATTTACTGATTTGCACCTCGGTTAGTGATCGAAAAGTAAACACTTTTTTTTTATTTATTCGTCAATTCTTAGAAAGTATGTGCTAACAACTTCACAGGTTTTGATTACTGATTGTCAATTATATTGAACGAAATTGCAGCTTTCTTAATGGATCAAATGAATTTGATCCAATTTTCTATTTACAAACAATAAATCGCAACAAATTTCGTGATATTTAAATATCGTGTTGCGAATAACGCGGTGGAAATTTCACAATGGACAGGAACTTTTGCTAAATAACATTAAACTCGATGTAATGTAATCTAAATATTGTTATTGAGACGAATGAGAATCACCGAACAAATTATGCTTGAATGGAATTTTACCAGAATGTACGGCCTCTTTTTAATGCCATTCTCATCTGTGAATTTGCTTCCGTTGCTCAGCGTAATATCATTTGATTAATGTAATCGTTCAAAATTCTTTTCATGAAGTGCTATAAGCACAACATACAAATTGGTCGAACACCACTTTCCTGGAGAAAGGATATTAAGGCAGATGGAACAATGAAATGAAAAATTAAATTTTCTAACATTTTTTTCTTTTGACGATAAATATCCGATGCCCGGTTTTTCAAAAATTTCCAAAACACATTTCACTATCTAGATACCGCAGTGAATTCTCTTCACTTTCGTATATCCCATTTGTTTTAATTTTCGACCTCCAATTTTACTGAATTCGATTTGAAACAACTTTCTACGTTTCGCGTACTCAGTTCTGAGTTGTTTGTACGTTTTGCGTTCTCAGTGCATTGTATATTTCGCAAAGTAATAAAAGTCATTTTACGTTGATTAATAGTTAGTTTACAAACCGGCTATAAATCATTGAATTATCTCATGCCAATGTAGTGGTTTCTGTACTGTACATTGTCGCTTGCATGATCTTGTCGCGCAATCGCCAATCTAATTTAAGAATATCGTGAAATTTGCGTGAGATTTGAATTCTTTTTCTTTCCTAATTCAATGGAATGTTTGTTTGCTGGGCGTGTTGTCAAGTGCGAGGTGCCAATAATACTCTTATTCATTCAATTTTTTCCGTCAACACGAGGAAGCTGCGTAACAGCGCAATCAATGAACTCTATAAATTACAACAATACTGTTTGCTGAAAAAAAGAAAAAAAATACAATTGTTTCGTTTAAATAGAGAGTCCTTTATTTCTTTAGTCTGTTACATGGACAAAGTTTTTTTTTACATTCAACTAGAGATTCTAATGTTGCATTCTAATTAATATGTAGTAAAAAATGTGTATGTGTGTGTGTGCGCAAATGCCTAAATGACTTACGTTAAACTTGTATTGTTATTGCGTTAGTTCTGATTCATATTTTACTGGAATGGGGTTATTGCATTTGATTGTGTCAATTGAGTGTAATTTTTTTTTTGTTTCTCGTTTGTTCTTTTTTTTCGGGTGAGGCGATGAAGAAAGATCGAGAAAATCGAAAACTTGTGGCATCGTGGCTTTTGCAACATGTGCCTCTGTAGGTCTGTGTGATCCATTGCCGAGAGAGAAAGAGATTTTATGATGATGATAATTTTTTTCAAATTTTCCAATTGGCATTCATTAAATTGTGCAAATGGAATAATGATTATAATGATTATGTTCCGTCGTGCTTTGCGTTGGTTTGGTCCGTTATATTTTATTTAATATTCACAGCATTTCATTTTAAATCGCTAAGACGATAAAGCAAACAAACAGAGACAAAACAAGGGAGAGAAAGCAAAGATTGCAATTTTTTTTTCTTCTTCTCGTAAACAAAGGAAGAATCAATCATGGCACATTTGGTCTATCTCACATCACGTTCACGAAAAATGCACGATTTTAAAGTCTGCCGGCAATGGCTTGTTTATAGACATTGATTTTCATGCTTACTTATGCCCACTTGTCGCATTTGTTTGTTTGTTTTGCATTATTTAATATTGTCTCGCGTGAAATGCAATAAAATAAAATCAATGAAAAAAAAAGATCATTAAATTATATCGAATTGAATTATGATTATTATTACGGAATGAATCACATTTAATAAAATACGTAAGACAGTTTTAAAAAAGAAGAAATTATAATGAAATCTTATTCAAAAAAAATCTACGACAAAGTCAAAATTAATCTATTTGTTTGTTTTTCGTGTCTAAAGTTGAATTATAATATGTACTTGAGACTGTCCATGTGTAATTTTTTTGCTGCCATTTTCACCTTCGAAGAAAGTCGCTCGTCTACGATCGAAAATCGATCACGCGAGAAAATGTGCAGAAACTCACAATGATTCCGTTTTGAATTGGTTTATTTCGCTTTCATTTTAAAATAATAAGATTAAGAACAGGATGAGTGTTTTGTTTTTGTTTTTTTTTTTTTTTTAATTACGACGATTGTCCATCGATCAAGCGCATTAGGCGTCTTTCTTCTTTTCTGGTTTTTCTTGAGATTCTTTTGATTCTTCCGAAGAACTACTTGACGATCCCGATGATGATGAGTTGTCGGCTTCGGCATTCGATGATGCTGGATCTGATTCGGCTGCTGCTGGAGTTGGAGGCGCCGCTGTTGATTCGGCTGCGCTTCGTTCTTGAGCGACTTCTTGAGGTTGTTGTTGAACTTGAGCGGCGGCTTGTACTTGTCCCGATGCGACTGGCAAGGTCGATTTTGGTTCAACTTCAACTGGTGTCGATTCTGGTTGTTGCACATTTTCCGATACAATTGGAACTGGTGCCTCTGAAAAATGTGAAAGAAAGAAATATGCACAGCGCCATTTTAGTCAAATGAAAATGTTTGTCACGAACTCAAAAAGTGAATTTTCTTAAGAATTGATGGAAAATAAAGGAGATGTGAAAAAAGAAATATGTACCAACCTGCATCGATTTTCTTTTCACTGGCAATGGCAGATGGAACAACTGGTACAACGGTCGATTCAACGGCTTGTTTGACATCGGCTTGTTTGGCAGATGGAACAGCATCGGCAACAACAGCCGGAACTGCAGTCGATACGGCGGCCTGTTCAACGGCCGGTTCTTTAACGACCGATTTCACATTACTTTCGGCTGGTTGTGGTTGTTCGGCCTTTGGTGTGGTAGCTTCGGCAACGGTTTCTTTTACTGGTTGCTCTGGTAACGACTTGCCAGTCACTTGTTCGGATTGTGATTCGGCTGGTTGAGCAGTTGGCTGTTGTTCGGCAACAACTTCACGTTTCTTTTCTTCGGCCTTTGGTGGTGCTTCTTCTTTTTGTGATGGCAATGCTAGTGGTTCGGTTTTTTCATCTTCAACGGGCAACGATTTTTGTGTGGATGGAACATCGGTGACAGCAACAGCTGGAACGACTGGTGTTTCGGGTACAGATTTTTCGGCCGGTGCAACAGCATCTGGGAGGACTGGACCTTCGGGTACAGTTTTTTCTGTTGGTTTGGCTGGTTCATCAGCTGGAATTGGATTTGAGGCAGCAATCACGAGCAATGCACTCAACAAGCAAATTTGTAGGGATTTCATTCTGTGCACACGTCAAAAAAAGAAAGAAAAAAAAGAACAAATCTCATTTAGAAAATGATGAACAAACAAGTCATTTAATGTATTTGGATGAAGTTCTAAATAAGATAAGATAAACTGACTCAATAACCGCAAGACAATTTCAACATTGCATCGTTTCGAATAAATTCAATTCAAAAAGTCAGTTTCATATGAGTGCCGACGCACAAACAGTACGGTTCATTGTTTCGTTTTGTTTACTCCATGCATTGCAAAACCGTCTTAGAAAGAGTATATACTTATCATTCGAATGGGATAAATTGAATTGAATTCGTTCATGTTGCGTTACATATCATTTTCATCAATCGAATCGCACAACAGCTCGTTTATCTAGATTATATGGTCGCTACCTATGATTCTATGAATTGTATTGTGATGTGATGCTGTGTTTGTGTGTGTGGTTTTTTTCTGTTGTTGCCTATTTAATGCTAATTGCTTTTCTTCTTGAGAAATATCGTTGGATTAGTACAAAGCGGAAGTTTAATCAAAATGTTGCGACAACGAGAAATACATTACACAGCGACACGAAAAAAAGAAATAAGTGTAACAGCAAAGCCGCCTAGCTTGTTGTATGTGACAACGAGTTTAAACGTTGAACACATGTAGAATAAAAGCATATTGTTACCTTAATAAAAATGATTGTCAACATTCATTTAAAGTACAAGTTCATGCATTCATTCACGCGCGTCACTCACATTTCTGCTTTGGTTCAACGTTCATTCGCTTTGGCATTCTGCGAATATTCTGGCAATGATTTGTGTGTACGAAATAAAAAAAATGGGACTTAAGTGCTTCACATTTTATTGTATCATCAAGCAAGCAATAAATTAGTGTATGCTAATTTGTGTGCATGAGTAAAAATGGGGATGCCGCGTTGAGCGTACAAAAAATTTAAACATTTGTATTTAAATCAGACTGAATTCGAGAGAAAGTGTTGAAATAAATATGTTCCGGATTTGAGAATATTCCCGTTGAATTCGTTGAGCTGATCGGCGGAGACTGTTTTAAATATAATTACGATTCGCAGAAAATAGAAGCTGATATTCGTTGTGCAAATGAATCTTATTTATTCCAAACGGATTTTGGAATCATAAGCGGCCTCATAGCAATATTATTAACATAAAAAAATCGGCACGGAAACGGGTCAAAACGGTGCAAAATGCAAACGAGCAGATGAAAATTTCGTGCGCGAATCAAACGGGAATCGACGAAATCAAAAGAAAACCGAGAATATTAAACATGCGAACGTAGCATGCAAACATCGTCGACAATCGCATGTTGCCCGCAAACAATGCGTGGAAAAATACAAACTTTGTACATTCGGCTGTTGTTGTTGCTTTTTTTTCATTCGACCGAAATTAAATACATATGCTTACAGTAGAAGTGTTAAAAATCGCATCGTTTAATGATGACCATTGAGAGATACATCTTTCCTTTTTGTTTTCGCGTTCACGTAATCGCGGCATCATCTTACGTAGTCATCGCATACTCGCTTTACATACAGTCAATATATAAATAAAGCGACGAAAAAAAAGTGCAATGTAGCAGAAAAAACATTGCGACAAAACAAATTCGCCGCACTTCATAAACGAAACGAGACAGTGACGTGCACGTTGTAATTCAATAAACAAATCAAAACCAAATTAATCGTTTCGATCGCGTCGAGTGGGAAAAAGAAACAATTTGTATATATAAATCGATATGGGCAATTTGTCATTTTGATTGCAAACAGATATGCACATAAATGCATGAAGTCTGACCTAAGAATTAATAATTCAACAGTTTGGTGGCGTTATGTGTAATATATTTCATTTTAATGACCACTACGTTTTATGCACCGAAGATTCTTTGAGTGGACCGCGCGTGCAATACGATGCAATAACTCTTTGCTTGATTCCTTGTGAATCGAGATTTCATAATCGAATCGGTTGTATGTTTTTTTCTTCTTCATTAAATAATCAAGCGACCAGAAGAAATATTGACAATCATTTTTGATGCAATCGAATTACATTAATATTTATAACGCGCAAGATGTTTTTTTTTTTCATTGAAAAGGATTGAATTTAATATTTTGTATTGATTGATGTGCTCGGGGCGTTTAATGAATTTTCTGAAATTAAATCCATTCTTCGTGTTATTTCTCATACATTTTTATTCTTCTTCAAATCTCTTACAAACGAGTAATTTCTACAAAATATGAGTCATATCTTCGCAATTAAATGCTAAAAATGGCTTGTTTAATTAACTATTTTGTTCCTTGTAGTTTTCGTGTGAAGCGCGCAGGTGTGAAACGATGACTTCAAGAATTGTTTTGTTGCGCCAATAACAATTGTTTTGACTAAAGAATAGATAACAAGCAAAAGACCTAATTACGTGAGAATTCCAGAACAAATTCACTGAAATGACTTCAGTCGGGTGAAACTTTGTGATTTATGGATACAATTATAAAAACGTGATTTTTCTCCAAACCAAACAATCGTTTTCGCTCGAATAATTCAAAATTAATGAAAAAAAAATGTTCAACTTGATTATCGATGGCATTGTACGAATTATTATCAAAACGACCTTTACGAAACACAAATTTCCATTCAAATGAATGAAATCATTAATCTCAACATCTCTATATTATAGTAAAAAAAGAGACCTAATGAAACTAAAAATTAAAAATAAATAATAGGATTCATTACATTAGAAGGATGAAACTGAGTGCGTTTAACGTAACAATTTGCAAATTATTGACATAAAATGATGAAAGAAACTGTTTTATTTGTTATTTTGTTATTTGACTGATAATGTTTGGAATGGGAAAATAGTATTCTCATCGTGCTGAAAATAGCTGATGATGTCTTTTTTATCGATTAGCGGAAAAACACAATTCTGCGTCTATTGAGTCATTGCTCATGCACACATATTTTGTGTGCGATATTTGTATGAATGAAAGAGACAATTTGATTGCGGTAACCTAGCAATCAAATCGAAATGAAATGAAAACAAGTGAAATTTCGAAAGAAAATAATAGAGAATAGAAATCACTCACCTGAAATAGATTCTTGTTTGTTCTTTTTTCACCAATGAGAAAAACAACTGTATATCTTTAATTAAACGCACTTTTTCCTTCGCAAATCTCTTCACAAGAAAAATAATTAAATTCACACAAAAACCGTTTTGAACTGATTATAGTTTAGTTAAGCAAGAAAAAAAGTATTCTAACTTTGTAAATGTGGTTCCTTTTTGTCGAAATGTGACTGTCGAGTGTTGTGTGTCCGTTGTCAAAACAGTATTTGAAATGATTGAGAGTGAGACGTCTGCTTTTATACCAGCCAATGAGCCACACTATGTTTTGGGGCAATATAACGATAAAATGATGTGTGACGTTGTTGTCTGTATTGGAATCGGTGGCATTTGTGTGTTACTTTGGCTACGACAGCATATGTTTATCGATTGTGTGCGTGCATTTCGCGTTCTGAATGGCTGTGTTAATATGATGTGAGCATGGAGTGGGGAGAATACGAATCAAGCAATATACACTAAAGCACTACTAACAACCAACGAATCCTATTTGAGATCATTACTTTTGATCGTTCTTCTTCATTTTTTTTTTTATTTTATTTTTTTTTCATACACTTTACTCTCGCTAAATCATTTGGCATTTGGTGTTTTTCTGCTGGCCAATGCTTTGTATTGTACACATTCTTTTCCGACAATGACGCAGAGCTTTAGGTTCATTCGTTAGTTTTTGTATGGTAAAACCAAAAAAAACATGTCCAGAAATGTAAAGGAAATCAATATTAAGTTGAAGTTCACTTCACAGCGAGTGCCATCATATTCGGATGTGGTAACTTACGCCGAACAAGGAAAACGCTCTATTCTCAAATACACGACTGACAATGAATGCGATTATGATGAATTCGATTACGATGTGTATTTGATTATATCTAGAAATATTAAATTCATTAATTGTAGCCCTAGCACTCAAACCAACCACTTGTTCAAGTGATTAATTTTACTTGCGAAAATAGAAGTTATTAGTAATGAGTAATTGAAGAAGATGAAAAAAAACTGAATAACAATCATTTTTACTGTCCACCATACATTTTCATATGGCATTTTATGTGCATTTGTGTGAGAGCCGACGATATTTGTTAAAATAAACATGAGAATAAAACGTGTCACACTGATACCAAATCATATTCAGCTAAACGAATATGATTTACTATCAAAATGAGCGAACGAAATGCCTTCGAGCAATTGATTTGTGCTTTCCCGTCTGTTTGCCCCCCTCGCTCTCTGCGGTCTCAGCATTAGCATAGCGCTAAATAAACATAACATGCATGAGACATCAACTGGCATTAACAATCAGTCGGATTGAATCTGATTGAATTTGTTGGTTGTGTGATGATAAATCGTCGTTTCGCTCTTCGTTCTTATGCAATTTTCTTGTCGTTTCATCGAAATGCAACAGTTAACCGTGTTGCACACACGAGACACACAAAAATATAATTTCAAGTCCGTCGCACCGCAATAGCAACAGCAACAGCGGTATGCAGTAGCAAAGAAAGGAGACAACATAAAATAATAGTGACGAACCAAACCGCAGAGAAGATGAAAAAAAAAAACACAACAAATCATGCAATTTACATGCATCGAATGGATATATCATTATTTGGTTTTATCATTGATGCAATGTCTCATGCTGCATGCTCTCACTTAACACGCGAACTCATGCAACAGCTCAGTCTCTCTTGTTATGTATTTTATTTTTCGTTAACATCAATATGTCAATTAAATTATTACGGTCGGAATTAAGTGATGCAAAATCGCGACATTGACGATTACATTCTCAATTAATCTCTGTTAATAGATTCTTTGGTTCGTTCGACGTATTTCTTTTTCTTTAAATAAAATTCAAAAAAAAAAACACATGCCGTGCGCTTGAAATGAATAAGAACGTCGATTCGACGTGGTAATGATGTGCTAGCAATCATAACCACTTTGCACACTGACATCCACTGACTCGTTATTATTGACGACCGAGAAAGAGAGAAACAGACAGACGGAGAGGGGGACAAAGGGCCAGAGGCGCAATTTTATCGAACGATTATCATAATCACAATCGGCGCATATAAAAGAATCTGGTTAGTAATCGCACACGGTAATTAGTTTTTTCGTACGGTTTTAGTGCACCGGATGTTCGACGTCCTTAGAATATCACGTAAACACCACAAATGGCCCGTCATCGTGGAACCATTTCTTTGATTGTCTTTTTTTGCATTCTTTTCGATTGTTATTAGGTAAACTTAGACTGATTAAAATACACAGTGTGAATTTCATACAGATAAATATACTCGCCAGTAAAATATTCACCAGTTAAACAACTTACTTTGTGGATTTTCAATTGATGAGGATTTATTTCGTTTATGCTCATCAAAACTTACCGGTGTTATTTTCTCAGTAATTTGATTATGTATATGATTGCTCGCACTCATGCGAAAATGACATGACTATACTTGTTTATAAACGAATTGTAATTTCATTGTTTTTTCATTACTTATTCCAAAATATACAAAATAAATAATAAACTCTTGATAAGAGTTGAAGTTTACAGTATTCAAGTATTGCTGCTGAATATTTTACCTATTTGCAAGTTCAAAAAAAAAAAAAAACAGCAGCCACACAAAGCTTAGATTTCCAGACAAATTTGTTATCTATTCCGAAGAATAGTTGATCTTTGTGAGTCTCGACTCGAGACTGCATCGAAATTGACTTGAATCCACTACATTTTAGCAAAGTTCGCTATAGTTATAGTAGCGGACTGTAGTTATATTATGTCTTTCATCATAAACCAGAGAAAAGCCGTTGTAGTTTGTACAGCAAAACTCTCACGTAGTAAAATGAGATCGAAATGAAAACGAGAAATAGCATTTATTCGACTCGAGTAAGCCGAAGAAGAAGAGAATGTATATGCGCAATTAAATTTATGGATGAGCATAATAAATTTGCATAAAAATGCATAAAACACGTAGAAAAAAAAAATGGCAATGCAAACAAACAAGCAGCAAAGTAGCAGATAAAGAAAAAAAACAACGTTCTGATCGCAATTAAAATTGATAATAGCCAGAGCACAGCGAAGAGTCACAGACTAAAAGATAGACGACACAAATGCTGGCAATAGTCAATATATGTTTACATGGATGGAGCAGTATAGAGAAGCCGCAAAAGGAGCATAGCCCATTGCTGCAAGCGGAGCATTTCGCTTTCAGGTTTTATGTATGCACTCTTTGTGCACTTGTGTGACAAAACAATTGCAATATTAGGTCGCGTACATTCAAAGTCGATCGAATAAAATCAACAACACAAAGAGATCCATGACAATGAACAAAACCACTCACGGGAACCACCTAAGATTATCATTTTGAGCAGCGAGCAACAAAAAGGCGATGCCTTTTATGGCAATTTTTATATAGAATAGCCATACGATAGATTGTATCATTTTGGCATCGCAAATAAATTCAACACGACGAAAATGTTCACTGTACATATACATTCAAAGGCGACAGACAAATAAGTGATTCTCATCATGTCATTGCGTTTCGAAAACGAAAGAGAACTCAATCGAATTGAATTGTAAATTATCTTGCCAAATTCTATTCGCCAGACATTTCTCGGATTGTGAATCCTTTTTCTTTCGATTTTAACTTTTAGCTGAGAGCATGAGCAAATAACTTGCGTTTATTCGCCGTGACAAAAAAAAGGGAGATGGTATTTGCCGATGATAAGTGCAAAATTGTGTGCATTCACACGTGTGTTAACGTGATTATTTACGGAATTTTTCCTTTACACAAAAGGTTCATTCCATCATGATTCAATGTGTGTGCTTTTTCTTCTTCTTCACTTAAGAGTTTTTCTATGCATTCAGCGAGCATTTATCAACATATGAAAAAATAATCTATAGATTCAGAATATAATCAATTCCACTTATAAAATATTTTGTGCATTGTTGCAGTTTTCTTTGTTCGTTTTGGTATCTAGTATTTTGTTTGTAACGTAATGGAAGAATTGCGCGAGACGAATGGGAGAAAATAACGTCGAGCGAGCGAAAAAAGAAACGGACAAAATTGATTACATAGTAGACAAGAATAGTGGCCGACAATGAAGGGATTCACAGTTGAAAAGTAAAATGATCGTTTGGATTGCATTGAAAATGCTGCTGCTTATAATGTGCATAGTTAATAAAAAAAAACACACACACACTGTCAGAGCGCGTACATTTGCACATTTGCTTTCAAAAGGATGAAAATGAATGCGGCGTGTCCAGGTTTTCTCTCCTGCATTTGTTCTATTTATAACTTGATTGTCGTACAGTGCTTGCTACTGTTGTTTTTACACCACTTGTTGTTGCCTCTTGAAATCAAGCCTTTTGGTTGCTTTCGCTTCTTCATCGTTGCCATCGAGTTTGTTGTTTCTTCAAGAATATTTCATGCAACGTCAAGAATGTTTTTGCGCGCATGTGTGTGCGTGTGTGCAAAAGTGCACTATTTAATCGTCATCATCATGATCGGAGTTGGTCGTTGTTCTACACCGCAGGCCAAATGGATGTGTCGTCAAACAGTAGTAAATAGTGTAAACAATTGAAAAACAAAGGAAGAAGAAGAACAAAATTTATGTTGATAACAAGCCCAAAGAGGGAGAGATGTGAATAAACAGGTAGTTAATCAAGCAAGAAAACAAATGCACACGCGGTACAATCCACAGATAAAATAATCACACATGAATAGAGAAAGAAAGAAGAGGAAGATCTTGGGCCGATAGCTTCGAGTTTGCATCGTCGTCGTCCTCATCGTCGTGGTACCGTGTTTGCAGTGCAGCAAATGGTGTGCAAATTTATATCGAGAGTAGAAAATAAACATTTTTAATTGCGATGCGCAAAGCGCATTAACTCGTTCTCGGGCGGCTCCTTCATGCACGGAATGGTTTTTTAAAATGTGGTTTTTCTTATATTTATATTACATTCTGTTTTTTTCTTACGTTTCTTGCGACACATAGCATATATCTATTTATGTCCAGATGCACGTGAATCGAACATGTATAAATAATGTTTGAATGATTTATGTTATGACTGCGCTCCATACACACACACACACACACACTCTGTGTGTACAAAAATAGACGGAAAAATATGTAAAAATAATCATTTATTCTTTTCATTCGTTTATGGCATAACAAGCGCATTTCTCTCGATGGCCATCAAGAATTGCACTGAACTTGAGCTCCTTTCAGTTCGAAGCCACACTCACACATACACACATACACGCAAATGGTTATTATACAAACAATCTTTGGTCGGTTATTTATTCAATGCTTTTATTAGACATATTTCTAGAGTTTATTTTCAAATTTCTACATGTTTTCTTGCTTATCGTCGTCATCATTTGATAAGTCATGAGACATTTGAACCATGCTTGGTTTGCGGCTTGATGTGGTTTTCTCCTCATCGTCAATGTAAGCCGAATCACTTGATTGGTAGCGTGCCGCATCATCATCAACATCGATAATTGCACATCCAACTAACGATATTCGCTTCCTTGTTTCATCAATGCATGGATCACGTTGAGCATCTAAAATGCTTTTGCGTCGACCTTTATACGATGCGGACGCAAATTTTAATACATTTTTTGTTGATTGTCTTGGAGCAATTCCAACTTTTCCCTTGTGATAAATGGCTTCTTTCAACGGGGTCATCTTATCGATTTTCTCCGTTAATTCGTCGATTGGGATATCATCAACTTCTTCCACGGCCGTTAAAATTTGTAGCAATTCTTCAAGCAAATTGGCTCGTTGCACTTCAAATGGTACCATTCCATCATTGCGAAGAGCATCACCGAGTTTCTGTTTCAATTTACTTAAAATGTCCAACAAACGATTAATTTCCGCTCGATGTTTTGCATCGTTTTCCAAATGTGATTCATACTGTTTTTGGTTTTCAGCAAATTTCGCATGAATTGATTCCAATTTCAATTTCGATTCATTGAGCTCTTTGCGCGAAACGGTTTCTCGAAGTTCGGCCATTTTTCGCAGTTTTCCACATTTTTCGGTTTTTTTAACTTCATCTTTGAGTTTTTCACATTCATTGGTCAATCGTGCTATAATTTTCACATATTTTCCACTGGCCTCAACCAAATGCGCATTTTCTTCCGAAATTGTGTCGCTCATGCGACGTTGTTCCCGATTTCGTTGTTTAAATTTGTCATTTTCATTGGTTACACGTTCAACGGTCAACAACAGTCGCTTGATCTCATTATTAATTGCAATATTTTCACGAGTTAATCGTTGTACGTGCGCCGCCGTCCGAATTTGATTTGCTTGAGTAAATTCATTCGATAATTCTAACAATCTGCCTTCAAGTTGATTTTTAAGTAGAACTTTTTCAGCGATTTGTTTATGCTCTAGTTCGTATAACGTGTCTTTGTGCCGTTGCTCTTGTTCTTTTAAATGTCGATCTTGATTTTCGAATTTTGCCATCAAATCGTCGTGCTGCAAACGAAACTCTTCCAAATAGTTCAATTTACCCGACAACAATTTTATTTCGGACGACAATGCATCGTGCATGGATTTGAATTTTGATTCCCAATCTTTGATGATATTTTGAAATTTGTCCGTTTCTTCACCTCGAACTTTGGCCAATTCCGATAATCTCTCTTCCAAATCTTTTATTTCGCTGCATTGCTTGGAGACGGAACGCTTTAAAAATGCAATTATATCGGCTCGATCTTCATCCAGCTGTACCATTTGTGTTTCCAGTTCGGCATTTTTCTCCTCCAGTTCGGCATTGCGTTTTCGTAGATTCGATAGTTTTGCATTGAGATCGTTGATGGTGATTTCAAAGAATGTTTTGTCTACCGCACTCAATTGCTCTTTATTCTCTTTTTGACCTTTTTTGTCGGCTTTTTTATCTTTCTTTGGCATTTTGTGCGATTTCTCAATTGAATTCGCACTCTCGGAATTTCTCTGTATCGACTGAATTCTATTGAGACCGAAATTACGGTTCATACAAATTCAGTCAAGTCAGTCACCATGGTGACCAAAAATATTTACATAATATTGATCAAATAACCCTGACACATTTCCATGCGGTTGAAAAATTCCTGCGAATCATTGGTTTTATGTAGGGGAATTTTGTTTTTTTTTTTTTTTTTCTACGAAAACTATTATGTTGTTGTTTTCCATACGATACGGTCCATTTATTTGCACATATTGTTGGCGTATTCGACAAACCGGAATAAATTCAACTTGAACTTGTTTGAATTAAAGATAGAAATAGATAGACAAAGACCAAGACAAAACAAAATTAATTTACAATTGTTGTACACCTTGACTCGTTCAGATTTTTAGGACGTTTGCAAATATTTGTTGCATTATGTTTTCCTGTCATTATGATTTGTGTGTTGAATGATCAACACTTATGATTTTAGATGCAACACTTATAATGTGATGGCTTAATAACTACCATTAAATCTCGGTATAATTTTAATTGAATAGAATTGTCTATACAGAAATTCATCAAACATGCGAATTGAATTAAAAACACAATTTTGTTTTATTTCATCATTCTGAGGATGGAAATGTCAGCGACATCACATTTTATTGCATTGTCGTGATGCAATTACTGGCTAGATTTCAATGATTTTCTCTGTTTATTCTCATTTATATCCATTTCCTTTTGTTTTAAATTTATATTTTTAAAATTCCTCCTCATAATAGATGTTTTACTTTGTTTCGATCGAGAGAAAAAAGCAGACTCTCCAGATCCAGAAGTTAGTTCGCGAAAAGAACTGTTCTTGTGATCGGGCAAATTGTTGTAGAAAAGAAGTCCGATAGTGATGTGTGTGTGTGGAAAGACAAGAAAATGTTAAAAATAGCTGCAAAAATCAGATCAACAACCTCATCGGCAATTAAAATTCCTGTTTCACTTGACTCTTTTCAATCATCACATCGGCACACCCGATTCTCTTCTCTATCTCCATGCGATTACATAAAAATGGCAAACGATATGATAACAAAAGCAATGCAAAGAACGAATCTCACTTTGTTGTTCTTATCTCACGTTTGCTATTTTTAACTGCGTTCACCGATGTCAATTTCTTCCAATCGCATCTTGCCTATTCGTGGCAACACAAATATTTGCAATTCATTCACGTTGACAGTGAATGCCAGTGCGATTCTTTTTTTTGCCTTCTTACATTCTCCTACTCTTCTTTGCTAAGTTGGATAGCATAGATATACTTAATTTATGGCTTTTGTCTGACGCCGAACGAGTTTAATGACTTTCCAATTCATTGCATAATTTATGCTACTCTATCATTCGTTCTTAATTGGTTACTAATATGGATGCGCTGTATTTGCGGCCGGTGGTGTGATTGTGTATGTGAGAGAGAGATTTAATATGAAAATTTCGAAATAACTGTTATTTCTAGATTTAATCTTATACACTTACCATTCCGTCTAACAACTTATTCTTTACGTTCGATGTGTGTGCGCACCTATATGCAAGTCGTAATGCGATTGTTGCAGTTAAAGGTGCGTGCGACTTTTTATTCAATTTATTTTTATTGAAACAAAAGAGATGTGAAAACAACATTTTCTGCTTTTGAGTCGATTTTTTTACGAGCTATCTTGTTGCAATTGATTCGCAAGCAAATTAGACTCAATCTTATAATCTCTCATTAATAAATTGATGGGTCAAAATTTAAATAACATCACACTCTACATGAGTTTTAATAAACAGTAATTGATTCTATGTTTTTTATTAGCCGGAACCCAATAAGCTATTTTTCAATTCTAGCCGATGAAAAGTGCGTATAGTCAGGCTTGAAATATTGATAAAGATTTTTTTTTTTTCAAAAATGAAAAAGTTCCCGACATAATCTTATAGAGGACTTATTTCTTGAACAGTAAAAATGCTATGAATTTGGAATTCGACATATTTTGCATAAATTTACGATCGTATTCGATATAATATACGTTTTCATAACATTTTTGTCTAATCTGATGAAAACCGTTTGGATCAGTTATCAAAATTGATGTGTGAAACTGAGGTGATGGACGCTTTTTTATAAATGGGCCCATTGGGATGTGCATGATTGGAAAAAGTACATTATGATGCTTACATTGAATTGTTCAATTACATCAGAACATTTGTTTCGTGTCCACGTTACGTTACACGCAATGGTATAACCTCCATTTTCCATGTTCTTTTTTGAATATTTGTACCGCCGCATAGCTGAACATACTCCGTTAGATTCCAATTTTTTTTTTCAAGAGCAAAAGTGGCTAGCAAATGTTGAAGTACACATTATTTTAATTAACTTATTAATTGAAATCGTTTTGATGAACAAGCAAATCCAAAAATGTGTTTTACAACTAATTAACATTAAAATGCAAATCCATTTTGTTTCTCTCACAAAATTGTAATCAATCGGAAAATTATAACGTGTACGATTCTGTTTCGGGGTCAAAGCCTAATAAGAAAGAATAGGGAAGAAACAATCACGAATTATATCCAGTTAGAAAATTTATTTGATTAATTATTATTTTATTCGAATGTATGTATCATCATTTCTTTTTATTTAAAATACTAAAAATATAATTCAAGAGCGTGGTTTTTATTCTTCCAAAAATAATCGTTTACAAACGTCGCTAACATCAAGATCGCAGATATTTGGTACGGTAGTTCGTTTTTGCAAGACTTTCAAGTGATTTGGATGATTGTGCAGCCAGCACTTGGACTCGTTTACACAATCACAAAATTCAGTTTCGTTCTCTTCATCCGTTGGAATGCTATCAAGAAGATGATCCATATGGTCGTTGCAATATTTTTCAAAGAGCCATGGATTAAAGTTGTTTGATGCATCGGCTGGCTTTGCGTCGACTTTGTTTTTGCATTGAATGCCGGTTGTTTGATTTATACGTTGGCAACGAACAATTGTGTGTTTGTCGCGCAGCGTATGTAAATCATTCACATCGTCTTGCATCGACAAGTTCATTGATGGGTAAATGAGAAATGCGAAAATGGTGAGCGCGCACAAAACAAGTACTGGCAGAAATAGGGCGAAATATTTATCCGGCAAATACGTCAATCCAAGTACATTGTGAAGAATGTGTTCGGGTATAAAAGTCCAGCATACGTATAAAAAGAATAGAGTTTTGAAGAATAAAAAGCAAGCGAATCCATAGACAGCACGATATGGTGTGGGTGACGGTGTTGGTTCGGCCATGGTTTTTTTTTTGTATTTTCCTTAAGTCTAAATATTATACTCGAATGAAGTTACTTAATTGCCAAAATGTTTGCTACTCGTAATCGTAGCTGACGGCTGGTGGCCCGAATTGATGCAAAGTTTCAGTACATAAAATGATGGCATCAAGAAACGCATTTACACCAACACGTACGTGTTTCGCTTGTTGGGCTGAGAATGTTCTGAAAATATGGTGAAATGTTCGAACATGTTAAATTGATCAATTTTTAATAGCTCATGCTACTGGTACACCACTTACGCTATGATATCATTCGAAACTAATTTCAATTGCTTGGTAACTGCACTTCGTTTTGGTTCTGGGTCAATTCTCAGTACGTCATAAGCAATTTCTGCTTGTCTTCGGGTTGGAAAGGGAATTTTCAAATCGCTGCAAAACAAAGACAATTCAGATATTTTTTTCCAAATAGCAATGATGTCGGTGACTTCAAAGCTTTAGCTATTCCCCAATCGATTTAAATTACAAGCGACAAATTTTCGGCATATAAAAAAGATCTTATTCTACTTACACATTGTATCCGGTTGATCGTCGATTCGATTCCATAATTTGAGCTGAAAAACTATGTACTAATGATAAATGCTCAATTTTTTTTTTTTTGAAAAATGCCTTGGATGAATTTCTGTTGAAACATTTATTCGGCACAATGACATCGAATTGTTTTGCTTTTTGGATCGCTCTTGACAATGACAGTAAATTGTCTATTGAGTAGAACATGTGGTAGATGCTCTTCAAATGCCGGACAATAGATGGCGCTCCAAACACCCCATGAAATTGTGGTTATGCATGAGATTTCGGTGTATTATTATTACACAATTGTTTACTCCGATTGAATCATTCGCTGGAGTTTCTATAAAAATGTTACTTCAATCCAAATATTCACTTTAAATATTGAATGGTTTTTTTGGGTTTTGCTGAAATACGATCCGCTCAAAAAAAATGTTTGTCATTTTCTTCTGTTTATTTGAAGTACTTTACATTTTGTTAACATAAATTCTAATTGTTTGTTAAATGTTTTCTGAATGAACACAAGTTTATCAATGCCCAATCTTAGTCCGAATGGATTTGTTTTAATTGTATTATTCTTGATGTTTCTGCAGAAGTTGTGCAAATCGATTGGTGATCAGCAGAGATGTGTCAATAAAACGGTCCACACAATTGGACAGGCATGTTTCCGATTTACTGCTTAGTTTACTTTCTGGTGTATCGATGCATCGTTCCCAGCATATTTCGGTGAATTCATGAACCTGAAACCGATCGAATTCGAGGTCATTTGTCAAATTGTTAAAACAAAATCGACATTCGATCGAACAATCGAAATCGAGGTTGGAAATAAATACTCACTTGTGCATTAACTTGTGCCTTTTGTTTTTCCATCAATAAAAATTCCTGTAATTCAGCATCACTGCCACTGCTGCTTGATGGTGTTGAACTGTAATCGGTCATTTTTTCTGATTTTGTTCGTAATTTTTCTATTTAAACTTAGAATAACTTCAATTTTTACGGCCCCGAATGGTGCGTGTGTGATTTAACACTGACTTCTGTCAAATGATAAGGAAAACATGCTTGTCAAAGTCGACTCGTTTTTTTCACATTGAAAAATGATCCCTATTGGAAAAATGACAATTTAAAATCCAAATATCAAACATTCAACTGTAAAAATTTTCTCTCTATTTTTTCACAGTTTCCCGAAGTAATTGAAGCAGAAATGGTGACAAGCACATCGAACCCCACTTCCATTTATGATTGTACCGATAATGCCCGTGCAAATACCGACGGCGATTATCAGATGCCCATATCGCCAACATTACCAATTTTGAAATCCGAATGCAATGACCATAAATTCAATGAAGGATCTGTTCGTTTGCCTGTTGAGTGTTCAGCATTGCCGTCGGATGGTCGTGATTTGTTGTTGCGTTTGTTGGCATATCGCCCAGAGCATCGTATACGGTCAATATTCGCATTACAGCGTATTGCATTTTTCATGGGATTCAATTTTGATGATGCAAAAAAGAAAAAGGTAACCATTTTCCACTGATGTTTTATGGCAATGCATATTTCACCGTCTATTCAATATGCAATTTGTATGCTTTTTTTTCTACTGATAGATAAACCCACTCGATCTAATGGATTCCACGGAAATAATTTGAGAGTGCCGTATGGTGCCGTACTAGAATTATAAATTAAATGTTTCACAAGATATTATTTTAGTTGAATCCGTCCACTTTTTCAATGGCTTTTATTCCAGTGTTTCAATGAAAATCATGAATAAAAAAATCAATTGTTGAAAAAACGCTAAAAATGTCATTTATTTGTTACGCTTTGTTTATACATATATTGAAGGCATTTCGTTTTGAATACATGACCAGAGGGTATAGTAAAGATGGGTACACCGAACAGTACGTTATGCTCGTTTGATATCAACTTTTCCGTTTAAATTATTAATGGACAAGCTGAATGTGTTCTAATTGTTTCGAGTAAATGTTCTATTTTAAAATGTATACAGAACTTAGCACTATTATTCAGTTTAAGTTGGAAAAATGGTAGGTTCATGAAAAATACCAAGTAGAAATGATATGGAAATCAATTTCAACAAATAAATAAAGTGTACCATAATTAGAATGCCACATTCAACTTTTCAAAATAATGTAGCACACGGAAATGAAAATATAAAATGATTTGATGCATTTGCACATACGCGACAACCGTAATTGATTCAGGCGTGCACTTTCATAATTCAACGTCATTTTCTCCGACACATACGAATTGATTGTGAAATATGCAGAAATGGAACTGATGAACGTTTCTAAAATTATCAAGCAGCATGTGCCACGAGGGAGAGAGAGAAAGAAAGAATAAAGATAGACAGCGAGGAGAGAGTGAGAGAGAAAAAGAATGGGATTAAATTCAAGTCGGCCAGCAAGCACTTTTCATTGCAAACAATTAAGCAAATTAAGTCAATAACGTAGCAAACTTCTACACTTGAAAATCGTAATGACATGAATACGTGTGTAACCTGCTGCTCAATTTACTATCTATTATCCATTGAAGCATGTGTGAGGTGAGTTCTTTTGCACCGTCCATCCCTCTCACACACACATTCGTCCTCTTTCGTTCGTTTTCATTCTGAATGCCGAATTACATTCACATAACGATCGTTCATTGGTCGTAGGCTGTTTGAATATTTACAAATGGATATTCCCGGCTCCTCTCAATAGACAAAAACAGTAGGCGAACAATAGTGGGAAGCCAAAAATGTGTTGTGCAATTTTCAAAATCAAACTGAATACAGTGAAACTCTCTTTCATTTCACGTCTGCTTTTCATCCGGGGAATTGAAGGTGTATGACGAGTGACGATCGATGTTATTATTCTTCTTTTTTTGTTGTAGTACATATTATGGATTACCATACGAATTATACTGATCAAACTACATGCATTGCAAGTAAATATATATGCCGTCATCAAAACACGACGTGTTTACATGTACGATAAGCAAAGGAAGCAACAAAAAAAAAATATAGAAACAAAGCGATGGAATGTGTGTGGGCAAAATTGAATACGTACGTACGTATGCTACCTTCTTTTTTGTAAAGCGTATGGATCAGTGCATAGACGTCATTGACTTATTGCAATCCGTTTTTCGTAACGAGTGCATTCGTTCAGATACACAGAATTAAATTCGATACAATGAGAAATAGCAGGCAGCAAGTCAACGGTGTTGTGTATGGAGTACACATATGAGTTAAAATTCTGAATGAAAATAGATTTATGAAAATGTAAACAAACGACGGGAAAAAAATCACTCATAGAAATGATGTACAACGGCAGCAGATGGAAAACCACTGGCTTTTGAAATGTACCGAGAGGAATAAGTAAATAAATGTTTTTTTCTATTTTTTGCCATTAACGTGAATGTGCGCATTCATCGTGGATAAGTGCAGTACCAATTGAGTGAGATGGGTGATATTGAAGTAAACTACCGTTTTTCTTGTGTCAACATCATTACACGAATGTTTTTCAGGTTTTCCAGGTGACTGAAGCCATCTCATGATTTCTCGGATACATCAATAAAATTGCATCGATTGTTTGTATGTTTGCCCATTGGCAAAAGCGGGATATGAATGTGCTCGCGCGAGCGCGCGCTCAATTCACGGCAAATGAAATGCTACAGTAGTTAATCTCCGTTGTACAGGTGTATCGACATACATTTTTCGACTATTTTTGGTCTTATGGATATGCCGCGAACACCATTTGGAAAATGTGAAAATAATCCGTGTGAGCAAATAGCCAAAGCGCCAATGATTGAATGACAACGACGAAACGAATTCAAATCGCGTGCATTTTTATTGTTGTACATTCGCCATTTTTAGGTGTGTATCCATCGATTTGGAATTCTGCATTACACAGCACAGCGGTTGCGAACATAAAAGGATAGAGCGAACATACGAATGAAGACAAAAAACAAATTTATGCATACTTTTGCGATATTGGCACGTATTCAACATCAAGCAGCATCAATGTTGGCACATTTGATATGCGTCCCATTGTTTCGCAGCTGATGGATGCATACCCAATCCATCGCGCTCCAGATAAATTCCTTTCATTCCATAACACTCTCGCGCTCTTTCGCTCCCTCCCCCTCTCTCTTTCCCTCTCTCACACATATCATGCTTTCTAAAGGTTCTCTATTTAAATTGTGCTTCGAAATCGACCGATTTATACGTACATAAATGTACAACACAAACATTTATTGAAAACTTTGAAAAAAACTTCACACATACATACACACACATCGAACTGGCGTCTGACTCCATTCAAACAAACCTAAGCACACACGCACGCACACATTTTATGAATCACATCGCATGCGCAATCATGTGTTCGAGGACAAAATGTGTGTTGGTGAGTGTTGGATGCTAAAGAAAAGCTATGAAACATCAGACAATGACTCAAACATTCTTGAATAAGGTTTTCATTGAGTAAATGAGCTCGGGATGTCGTTTACACTCATACATGTACCAACATCAAGTATGGAAAATTGGACAAGAAAATTTTTTATGTTGCGTGAACAAAAAATGACTCAAATAACTGGTCGATTGGCATGAAATGCAACGAAATTCCAATCGAAGTGAATGCAACCGGTTGCATCCAGGTGAAATCAATTGGTAAATAATAAAAAAAAATAAGCGCAAAGAATTTCCAGAAAATTGCATTCAATGCAAAAGGTCAGGCTCGGCAATTTAAAACCTACGCTCATAATAACACAAAGATATTTTACACCTTCGAAGTTCGAAGAAAACAGAACCTTTAGTGGGTTTCCGTTTCAAATGTTCCAAACGACTACAATATTGATGCTATATCTCGTATGCGAACGATTGCAATTCAGTCATAAGCAAAATGTGCTCTGTGGGCGATAAACAAATTGAATTGGTTTTACTTTACGGCTGCAAAGAGATTTTCCACATTTCGCTTTCCAGCGTTTTATACAGCAGCAACAGCAGCAGCACAACGACATTTATCGTGAACCGTTTTTTTAACAATAAAAACCACTGGAATTGTAGGCGAAGCGATTGTACAAATTGCGAATACATACATTTACAAACAAATTTTTACATTCGTATACAATTCAACAATCACGTACACACTAAACTCACGATAAAATCAGAATTATTCGCATGTTATGAATAGAAACGCGAAATACATAAATCGCATCAAAAGCACACAGTAGCAACGCCAAACAACGTCCACTTCACGCACACATACACGCAACACACATTGCACACATTTGCAAAAACGACTAACGCTTCTTTTTTTGTTTAATAGAAAGCGTTTTGATGTGTTGCAGAGATAGTGGTGGAGTTGGATGAGAGCGAGAGTAAGATCACGCGTCTGAGTGTGAGAGATGTGAAAAAAGGGCGAAACGATAGATGCGATAGAACAGTACCGATGAAAAACGACACACGACAACGACAATGACAGGAACAACAACAATCATGACTTTCACCAGGCCTAATGAATGTGGTACGATTGCAAACGCACACATGTACACAAAAACGTTTTATGTGTAGGAGTGATTGTGTGTGATTATACCCGGATGGCCGTCATCCACCAAACTACATCGCAACGTATGCACGCACACACCCATGAATGCATCCATATATCGTAATGTTTACGGTACAAATACACGCTCACAGCGACAATCCATCTGGAATGAAAACATACAGAACATACTGCCACACAAAAATCCACTGACTAAACTAACACATATTCGCTGGCAAGAACGACGAGAAAACGAAAAAGAAGAAGAAGTTGTAGCGATTCGAAGAGAATGAAAATGGAAAAACTAAGCAGAAGCAAAGTTTTGGTGGTGGTGCTGAGCAGAAATTCGAAGTGTGCGTGTGAAAAAAAGCAAATTTATTAAAAAAATTCAATTTTTACAAATGAATTTCTCTTATTTTAAAGCAAAAGTTTTTGCATGGAAATTTTGTGTATTATTATTTTTTTTGCTCATTCAAATTTTAGTTTTTATAAAAATAATTTTTATCAAACGGTGTAAGAAACGTGAATCGGTAAATGTGTGCGTGTGCAAATTACGAATTTAAAAAGAAAATCCCAAAATGAACAAGAGAAAAAAAAACATTACGCGAGAATGGAGCAAACGGCAAGACGAAACGAATCGGTTGAACTGAAATGTGTGTATTTATGAGATTGAAAGAGAAACGCAATATTTCAACGACTAGACGAAAGTCAAAACGAGATTGGCAATGCCATTATTACGAAATGCTTACATTTCCGTCATGCACAATCGATTTATAATCTTCATTGAATATAGAAAACGATTTTACAGTGAAAATAAAATCCAAACATAAAAATCACCGAATGAACGATCGAAGTCGACAGAAAAGAGAAAAAAAGCGATTACTTTGATGGATAAACGAAACGAATTATCTCTATCGAATTGAAATTATTGGAGCGAATAAAAGTTGAACCGAGTGTAAGAGAGACGACTGTGAATGCAAACAGCTTTTTGCAGTTTTGTGACAACGACTTGAGTGGTTTAATATTTCTCGTTCTTATTCCCGTTGATTTTTTTTCGTTTCGTTTGTCGTCTTTGCTGTCGATATTTCAGAAGCGAAAAAAAAAACGTTTGAAATTGACGACATTGGTTGGAAACGCAAAATGCCTAATCGCGTTTATGCGTTTCAATTTACATTTTGACAACGACAACGATAAGAGAGCGTGATATACGCTCACCAAAGAGATGAGCAAACGTTGTGAATGTCATTGGGGGCCGAGCAAGCGGATCCAGCGACGAGAAGTGTTCTATGTGTATCTCTTTGCCATTTTCATGTTCATGTATTGGTATATGTGTGAAAACTGAACACTACAATCGATTACAAGTGCCATTCATATGCTTTTATCTATTTAGTAATTCTTTTTTATCCAATGTAGTTTCTAACAAGTCTGTACGAGCATTCTGAATAAAAAAAGTTCAACAAATCACAACCAAACGAATGAATAAAAGTTCAAACAAACATCAATTGCATGGAATTAATGCTTTGTTTCGATGATAAAAATCGATCTGAAACAATTACTAAATATATCTTGTGTGATTACATGCGATTGAAAGCTTCTCGTTTATATTGGGTAAAAATACAATAAAAAAAACCATTAAAATTGATTTGAGAACCAAACGGATGTGAAGATAATTAATTTGTTCAGAGCTTTCGGTCATGTTATCGATTCCGTTGTTCGGATTTTACTTTGAGCTTGCGAAACACTTTTCATTTTGTTTCAAACAAGCTGTGCATAGTTGTGGTTGAATTTGTCGAATTTTTCAAGTACACGCGCTTAGTTTTACAAAATAAAGTAACATAAGGGTTATAAAAAGAGATCGCTTCGCGCAACAATATTTGGAAAGTCAAAGTTGTGTAAAAAAAAGAAAAAGAGCAACTGAGACTCTCGAAGCGAGAGAGTGAGCGGGAGCAAACGGCAAAGAGGCCATGAGATAAATTGGAAGAGAATGCGAGATAACAGAGAGTAGCTATATCCATAAATTATGTGACAGCCACAGCCCCAAATGAAGCAAATTTTTTCTGTTCGACTGGTGGACTCTTTTTTTTCGAAGCTAACGTAAAAACATAACAATAACAAAAATACTTGCCACAAGCATAATTCATCCATAAAAGTGCTTACACCATGTAACTGTCTCCCACATTTTCGTTTTAATACAATTCGAAATACAAGCAATCGCGAATTGTGGCGGAATGGTGAAAAATTAAAAGCCCCTCCAAATGATAAACTGTATGAATATATATGTAATTTTGATGCGAGAAAAGAGAAAATGGATAAAAATCCAAACCAAAATTGAGTCGAATAGACGACAATATCTTTCCGCGCGCGCACATTCGACACAACCAAAACTATTTGCTGATTGCTTTCGATATTGTAAATGTCTTCATATTTATGTTTGTCGAGGCGCACACCAAATCTCATGGCCCGTTTCACATTTGAAATGTTGTGATTTCATCAAATAGTAGAATCTTTCAACAACCAACGATTTCTAATGTTTATTGCTTTCAGTTGTTGTTGATTCTTTTTTCCTTTCACTCGTTCGCAACGGCTTTCGTGCATCCATTTAGAATATTTGTTTATGGATATGGTGAATCGATGGGATTTTACTTGGAGGTTTTTATCGAACGCCACACAACGAAAAACAAAACAAATTTGATGCTTAGATTTGTCTACCAGCACATTTCAAAAGCCGTAAGAACACTATTTACTTCTCTTTGAATAGTTTTCTTCTTCTTCAAAATAGCATTAGAACGATTGATGAAAACTGTGATTTGGTTTGAAATAATAATCATCTTGTTGATTGATATTCACATATATACACATAGTCCTCGGTTTGCGGTATACGCAAACGAAATACTTCAATTTTCATCGTTGTAAATCATAAAGGCGAGCTTACTGGAAATGAGGTCAGACAAGATCTGTACAGTGCACATGGATTGCAGATGATTAAAAAGAAATGGATTCGACTAGAAAAATCGAAAATAAAACAAAAACAGCAAAAATAGCGTGTTTCATGTGATTCCAGACTAGTAAAAAAAACGTCATAAAATGTGTGCGCGAAATTTGAAAACGAACACACGATTTCGTTTTTCCTCTATATTTTTCTTTTTCTCTTTCTGTATTTTTTCTTGCAAAATCTAATTAAAACACAACAGTTTGACTCCCATTTCATGTAGCATATGAATATACACCATTGGAATGGATTTTATTTGGCAATGTGTATTGCATGGACTGCATATATATTCCGATTGAGTTAAGGTTCAACGAGCAGAAAATATTGCATGAGCACTCCAGTCAATAGCGAACGAGCATAGAACAAAACCAGGGAGTGAGCAACGAACATGTGAAGAACGAAAAGAAGATGAAGAAGAAGAAGAAAAAAAAAGCAGCTGGAAAATTCACAAAGCTATCGAAATTTTCTTCTTTCTCTGCTATTAAGCCATTTGAGTTTCGTGCATACTAGCCGAAGGTTATAATCAACATTTTTTTCTCTTATTTTTGGTCTGCACTTCTGTGAAACAGAAAAAAAGCACACTCATAACAATTTCGCTGAAAATGAGAGCGACAGAAACATATGAAACAATCAATTAAAGCACCTCTCCAACCCATGCGATATATAACGATATCCAGAAGACAAGAACGATTACAGCAGCGACGACAGTGGCACCAGCGACCACACGGGTCACAAATCCATAAACCTATTCGACAAGACTTATGAACGTGCGCAAATTTATTTTCTTCCATAGATTTGGAAAGTTTTTTTTTGTTCTCTCTTCATCGATATCGATCTTCTTTACAAAGTGCCGTTCAAAATGGATATAGATAGAATATTTGGACGTTGAATGCCCCGTTTTCAGGGGCCGAATAAAACTCTCAAATAAACGATGTAAAAGGAATGAAAAAACAACAAAAGTTCAAATTGAAAGAAGAAGAAGAAGAAAACAGTATATTGATGAGATTCGAACTCGTTCTTTTTGAGTTATGTGATTTTGTGGAAATTATAAAAAACTATGTCGATGTGGAGAGCGAACGAGAGTGCAGTAGAGCGAGCTACGAATATTATCCAATCAATTCTCTGGTATCATACATTAGCATTGAGGTCGATGAGTTGTTTATGGTTTTTGTTGGGAGTAAAAAGGGCCATGCAGTGCGGTAGTTCACATAAAAAGAGATTTACGCACCCTTGGAAAATTAGAAATCAATTTATCGAACAATTTCGATGATTCGGTGGTATTGCATATGAAAAAAAAAATATTGAAACGGAAATTATAGCAAATTGTGCCGGCACATCAGCCATCAATGTATACAGCCAAGGCGTGAGTGTGCATATATATTTCAATCACCTTTGACTTCATGTATATTCATTTTTCCGATAAAATGCCATATGCCCAGAATCAAATGGAATGCGATTACTTTCCGTTTCCATTGGCATGCCGTGTGTGTTTGAAATGTGTACAATCTTTTCGATATAGCTATATATGGTACACAATGTTACACACGCAAAAAGAGAAAAAGAGAAAGAGAGATAGAACGTTCATTCGGTTGGATGGCCTCCATCCAACATCGTTCATTTTCCGCCTTTAAAAGCTCGCTCATTCTTATGCTCTATTGTTAAAAATTGGCGTTGTTGTTTTTGTTCAGCTGCTACCACTGTTGTTGTTATGGCCTCTGATGTTATGCACACAATTTTCCACTTTTATTCGAATACGCATTCGTATATGGCATCTAACATTTGGCATCAATACGTTGTATGTGTACCCTCAGAACAAGCAATCTCCGTTACTCGTTCGGCTTGTTTTTGTGCGCTTTCTCGAAGACAGCATTTTCTATATTAACCAAAAAAATGTCGTGTACATCTTTTTTTTTGTCCTAAATAACATTTTCCCGAAGTAGATGCTTGATGACTGGAAATTTTTTCAATACGACAAACGTACTTTAGCTTCTTTTTGTGAACACATATGAAAAGAATATGATGATAAAGTTGCATGTAACATATTTTTTTGTCGTTGATTAGATGAAAAGTTTTTATGTTGCACCTCATTTTTTGTGTGCCCGTTTATATGCAACCAGTTTGCATTGCAGCACACACACTCACACATTTATGTGCCATGACATTTTATTTGATCGTGTGTTGTATTGTGTACCCAGCTTATTTTTCCTCTTCACCAACGCGAAAGTAAATGTTTGCGAATTTCGTGCGATAAAATATTTGTTTGCCATCGTTTTTGAAGGATTTTTATTTTTCACTTGATGTATTCAAGTGGTTGTTTCTTGAAATAAACTTTGTTTGTACAATTTTTGTACAACATTTTACCAACAGAATTCTTTGCCTTGTCATCTTCCGTTGGAGTCATTGCGATTTGAATGCACAGTATCTCTGCGATGGCTGAACATATTTGGATGAGAAATTTAAATAGTACATGTACTATGCTAGAACCATCGAATTCGAAAAGTAGACAAATAATGAAAACCCCGTACCAAACTAATCACTGTAAAACTATCATTCGATAATTTGATTCGATGTCTCTCTTTCTTTCCCATTTTTTAAAAAAGTATATTGAAAACTTTGTGTGCTTTCTATCGCTCATTTTTATCCCTTAAAAGAACGAAATCAGAAAGTTCGCATTGTATCCACGGAGCGAAATGACAAAACGGGAAACAAGAAAAAGACGAAACCAAAATGCAATAGAAACGACATGAAATGAAAGTCGTTGGGACGAAATAATTTACTGTGGCAAAGCCAATAAGAGCGTACATAATGAGAAAATGGAAAGAAACTTTTATTCCGCTGATGATTCAGACTAAGGAATTGATGGTTGTATCTTGTGTGTCTTCTTACTTGTTCCGTTTGTTCGCTCGCACATACATGTATATACGCATATCGATACATATGTCATTTAGCGCGCTAAGAATAACAACTTTGAAAAGTACGAAGTAATGATTTGGAAGAATAATAGAAGCAGCGCAAAAGAAGAGAAAGGAAGACAGAAAAAACGTATGCATTTTCTTTTGTTTCAAGTGAGACACAACAGCAGCGAACAATAATATAAAATGACAATGATTTTAGTATTGTCAGGCGTCTCTGGTTTCATTATTTCGATCGTGAAATGAGACAAGAAAATGGTATCATGTAAAAGTTATTGTGCAATATAAATGCGCGTTGCGCACCCCTTCGTTCACGTACAAAAAATTAAAATTGTCGCTCGATTTGTTACACACAGCCCGAATGAGAGAATGTATACCGTAGCCATAAAATGGTATTGTACATCGTGAATCACATATTTCACGAACTAAGTCATTATCCCAAAACAAATTTTTATTCTTTGTTGTGACAATGAGTTGATTTTGTCGGGTTTTTGAGGAATGAAAAATTAGCGGAAAAAAGCGTAAACACAAATTCACAATGAGTTTGGTTAGAGAGAATGAGTATGTGTTGTAGAGCGCTTGAGCTAATTTTCAAAATTATACTCTTTTGCAAAAGCCACCACACAATGAGAACACACTCGGCCATGCATATTTCAATATAATAAAATATTTATATTGCGTTTTTTTTCTCTGTGGCGTAGTGCTACTGTCGCTGTTTATTCTATGTGTTTGTGTGTGGATTTTTCTTTCCTATTTGTGTGTTCTTCCGTCCAGTTCATCGCTCGTTGAGCTGCTGAAATGTTCAAGTAGCTCTTTCGCTCAAGTACCATGCATAATTTATATCTGCATTTCGCTATTATGACAAATAAAAACAGTAACAACGACAAATACTTGCAGATAGACAATACGGAAAATGCTCATAGAATATGTTGACATATTTCTTTCCTCCATAATATATCCTCAGTGTGCAAAAAAAAGAGAGATGTCAAAGTAGAACGAGAGACGAGGAGACATGGAGAGAGAGAGAGAGAGAAATGTAACGAAGTGGAGTGTGAGAAAGTGAAGTAAAGGAGTTGAGTCGGTTGGTTTCATTTTAATGTTACACATTCACTGGGTTATAATTAAATTATTCATTGTCATCATTTTTGTTGAACGACTAACGACACTACAGAGTTAAGAGCGAACGAATAAAAGCAACACTCACAACTCACAAAGATCATCATTGAATCCATATAATTCGGGCTTAAGAGCGATAGAACGGTAGAACCATGCATCTTGAAAAAAAAAATTGTTACGAAAATGACGACGACGATGAATGACATACGAACGAACAAAAAAGAAAGAAAAAGAAAGAAATGATAAGGGAGAAAACGAGAACGTGCAGGCAAGCGCAGTTTCACTTTAAAAATATATCATATTATAGAGTGAATTACCTATTCGGTGTGTTTGATGCCGTTTTTCCATTCGTTTTATCATTCGCTCTCAATTTTTGCGCATATACTTTGTCCAGATACACTCGATCCGTCGACTTTTTTGCAAGTTAACGGACTAAAAGCGGCTAAAGTGCTTTATATTTTCTTGAATGTTGAAGTACCACTAATTATGTTTAAAAGAAAGCCTCTTCGCTTGTGTATGTGTGCGCCTTGTGCTTGCTTCATACAATGCATCCGTTTTCAATTTTCTTTTCACATTAAATTCCATTTTCACATCCTTTTTTCTTTCTCTCTCTCTCTCTCTTATTCTTTCGATCTATCTTTCTATGACTTATCTGCTGCAATGAACCACTCGTGGCTTTTTCTTCCCTTGTCCTCATTTCATCTTCTTTCTCGTTGCAGATGTTGTCTTTCGAATTTTATGTTGTCGATGTGCTTAAATCTGTGCCATTCATTCTTTAAACTCATCACTCCGTCAAAACTCAACAAATAGATTATGCACGAATAACGACTTTTTAACCTTATTTCGTCTTAGATTTGTTGCTGCCATTTCATCCGTACATTGTATTTGCGTTCTTCTACAAATTCAATCTCTCTATCTCGTAAGCATTTGCCAATTTTCCTTTGTTATATCCACTGATATTTGATACAAGACAGAGCAAATGCATTTTGCCACAAAGATGAAAGGATGAACATGTATTGAGATCATTGTTTAAAAATAGATGTGCCTTTTGCTTAGATTCACATTTGTGCATAGAGCGCAATTTTCTCGGTACAGCAACAAAATCAACAATATTTCGTAAAGCAGAAGCAGCAAGTGACTTCACTCTCAGCATATGGTTCTTGCACCATTTCATTAATGGTTATGCATTAGCGCGCGCGACCCAGAGATAATAAAGAAATTGCAAATGTGATGTTTTGATATTACTGCTTATATTCCGCTTGTAGAAAATCGCTTATATAATCTGAACCATATCCATAAGTATCGGTTATCTTATTCCATCAATGTGCAACCACTTGCTCTCTTTCACTCTCACACAAATGTTCGTTCTCCGTCTGACTCTCACTTCACATGTGCTTTTTTTATCTAACACTTGATACTTTGGTCTTTTTGATTCCATTAGAGCGCTCCATCAACCGGAATGTTCATCGTTCCCAGATCATTTGCAAATTAGATTACTCAAGGATAAATATAACTTCAAACGAAACATTAAATAACAAGAAAAAAACAAGAACGAGAACGAAAAAGACGTAAAACATGTTAAGAAAATGCCTGTGCATGAACATACCACGAAAATGAGCGAAACATTTCGAAATTTGAGCGTTTGACATTCACTTTTCCGTCAGACATACGCTTCATGCCTCGGCACACTTTTAATTGGACATTAAAAATTAATACGACATTTCATGCGGGAATGTGATGTCAGAGAGAGAGAGAAAGACAGAGGCAGCCAAAAAGTGTGTGGGAGGTAGTAATAATTTGGTCACTTTTCCAATCTATTATGACCTATTCCATTGTATTGGGAGTTAACTGCAATTCACATCGATAAATTAGTCACATACCTATATGTGACGCATATAGATTGCATTCAACGTGAAAATGGTTTCGAAATCAAATGCATTTTGAAATAGTTTCAAAGTTTTAAGCAATAATTGCATGCCAAACGTAATTACGACAAATAAATCACAAAACAGCTCGTCATCATTATCATCACTCTATATTATATTGACTTATGTTGTCAACATGGCAAAATACGAAAGCACGGAGAATGATAATATGATTGAGTCTTGAGCCTCTTGAGAATTTGACATTAATAACACATCACGCTCAATAGACAATCATACTATTCTGTCGATATATAAATAGACTGTAATTTCGTGTAAAACGTGATAATGGAGAGTTGATAACTGTACGCCGTGTAGGTGGTATGCATTTTATTGTGACATATTAACGAGAAAAAGCCATGAAAAGCTTTCGTCTACCGTGCGACATGTCGCGATTTTTGCTTATTTTGGACTAATACGGATGAAATACTACCAATGAACAGATTTTTTATTCGGCGAATGAGACAAAACGATTCTTGGATTTGCTGGGAAAATATTGCCACGAAAGATGGAATTTATTTCCGCCCATATAAACTTTGCACACACACACATACACACCGTTCCAACCGTTTCAAAATGGAGTTAAAACTTGTTTGCGGTCAATTCTCAATATCTTTGCATTTTATCATTTTAAAATAGATTGAAGACGGCAATGAAATCGAAATGGATGATGATTTAAAGTCATTAAAAGGATTTCACCAGAACTGGTCAGAATTCACCATAGCATTCTGGCCACATTTTAATTAGGATAAAAAAAACACGAAGCTTATGCCATTAAATCAAAATTCGATAAAATACTTTTCAAGTGAATACAACAAAACAGACGACTCACATACACACACATATATATAATACCGACAACAACGTTCGACGAATGCTCGTCGTTTAGGCAATAGTGAATTAGGAAATATTTTGAGTAAGAGTTTTGACGTCTTTTTGGTTTTTAGGAGGGTGCATAGCATTGATCGTTTTTACAATTTAGATTTGATTCACAGCTGAAAATGTTCTTACGTAGAATGTATATTATGGAATGTGGTTAGTGATTTAAGTGTAGGAACCAAATTGTGCCCCAGAAGACGTTTTCAAAACACGTCTGTCTGGTGGTCATGGAGCCTTCTGGCAATTCACCAGATAACAATGTCAATAGCCTGCAAGAACATCCACACCAGCCATCACAACCGGTAATTATTTATTTTTCTTCTAAATTTTTAACGAGGAAAAGTGTCACTTTTGTGAATTACAATCGATTTTCTCAATGTGAAAACTAATCGAAAAATGCATCCCACGCATTTATCACTTAGGTTGAGCAAATGTTCAAATAAGTTCTGGATAAAATGATTTTTCAACTCATATTGATTTGCATTGTGATGCACCGAAAATGTAATGGATGTTGACACCCACATCATTTTCAATACCCACGTAAACATACATTCAATTTGATGTGCGCAACGAAAATTTTCATGTCATGCTTGAGAAGGAGAAAAAAAAAAACTATTCAATGCACAGGAACTGAAATCATACTATGACGTGGTATGAAGTCAGTAGCTGAAGAGCCATCAAAATTAATGCGATGATATAAATGGAATGAAAGCATTTAAGTTTTCAACTTTTTTTCGATTCAAAATTCTTTTTTTTTTTTTCATTAAATCCCTTACTTATCGGCTGCAGTCCGTTCAGTTTATCGATGGAAACTAACAAATTTTGTTGGAAAACTTTAAGCGATGCGCTCAGTTTCATTTTATCAACCAGATTTTAATTGAAAATTAATGATATGAATTTCGTGCCAAACCAGTTGAAGTTTTGAACATTTTCGCGAACAACAAATTTCAAGCGATTAGCAAAAAAACAAGTTAATTATTTGTGTGAGAGAGAAAGTTAATCATCATGGCATACATTTTCCATTTATCAGCAGCAACATCATCAACCACAGCAGCAAAATGCAAGCACTGCACAACAACAACCGCACCCGCAAACATCGTCGCTGGAACGTCTGTCGAGGCCCATGGCATTTGATAAGATGGAAATTTTAGTGAGAGAAATGCAAGATCAAGAATGTGGCGTCCCGGTTCGCAGCCAAAAGCTTTTCCTAACATCGATTCCGTCTGCTTTTATGGGTTCGTTAAATTTTCATAATATTAATGAATTTGTATTAAATTACGAAACATTTTGCATTGCATATTTTCACTCCTTCCTTTTCATGGAATGTACTGATGTTATTTTTGTTCTTGTTTTCTTCAATTTTCTTTCGTGTTATTTTTACGAATTTTATCATGGTGGCATACAACAGGCTATGATTTAATTGAATGGTTAATGGAACACTTATCGATCGAAGAGTCCGAAGCATTGAACATTGCCAATCAATTATGTTTGCATGGCTACTTTTTTCCGGTTAGTGATAGCAAAACGCTTGTAGTGAAAGACGATTCTTCACTCTATCGTTTTCAAACACCATATTATTGGCCATGGCAGCATAAAACACCCGACAACGTTGAATATGCCATTTACCTCGTAAAACGTTCGTTACGAAATAAACAACGTCATGGGCTCGAAGACTACGAAGTCGATGCATTGGCCAGTTTGCATAAAAACCTCAAAGCAAAATGGGATTTCATCACAATGCAAGCCGAAGAGCAAGTGAAATTGTCCAAAGATCGAAAGAAAGGCGATAAAATTGTTGCCGATTCACAGGTAATGCGACAATTGCATTTTGGTAAAACGTTATCGCTCGTGTTGTGGTGGTGAAAAATTGATTATTAATTTTAAATTTGTTTTGTGTAGGAACGTGCATTTTGGAGAGTATATCGACCGCCACCCGGTCAATTTACACCACTTGAAAGTTGCCCGGTGCCGTCCCGTGATCGTCAGGGAAAACCACGACGTCGTACATCCGAAGACGTGCAACGTGAAGTCGTTTATCTCAAGTCATCGCTCGGTCGTACGCGCATCAAAATGTCACAAGCTTGTGAATTTTTGTCACAATATTGGGATACATTTTCCGATTATGATTTCTTCTTGCAATCAGCACTGCCATCGAATCCATGGGTGACGGAAGATCAAACATTCTGGGCATTGAACAACAGCATCGTTGATATACCAACCGAAAAACGTGTTAAACGTTGGGCTATTTCAATTGAAGAGCTCGTATCCGATCCAACTGGTTTACAGGAGTTTACAAACTATTTACGCAAAGAGTATTCACATGAAAATATTCGCTTTTGGATCACGGTTAATGATTTAAGGCGGTCGGCACACTCGCAAATTGCACGAAAGGTCAGGGAAATTTATGAAGAATTTCTTGAACCGGGCGCACCATGTAATTTTTCCATTTTTTAATTTAATTATATTAAGATTTTATCTTAAATCATTAACATTATTTATTTGTTTTTCAGGTGAAATAAACATTGACAGCAAAACCATGGAAAAAGTTCAAATTGGCTTAAAAACACCGTCACGTTTTACATTCGACGCAGCATCCGAACACATTTATGCATTACTTTTGAAAAAGGACTGTTATCCACGTTTCATACGATCTGAACATTATAAAACATTGTTGGGACGTGGCATCCAACCACAACATAAAAAACGATTCTTCAATTTTGGCGGACCGCCCAAAAAGAAAAGCTCAACAACTGCAACACCAAATTTAGGGCTTCTATCACAGGTTTGTGTTTTTTTTATATTAAAGAGAAGAAAAAAAACAGTTGCACAGATTGTTTCGTGGCAGTTAATGCATACGGAACCAGGGCTGCGAAGATTTCAATGTCTCAGGGAGGGGGGGAAATGATATGTATTAGAGGATGGGATGCGTTGACCTAAAAAAAAATCCCAGAAAAGCGAATTGAAAAGTTCAGTTGGGCAACGCAAACCAATCCCTTTCACGCACCTCTGATATGGAACTGTCATTCATCTGTCGAAGGCGCATATTTTTTCTATTTATACATGTTCGACAATTTGAAGTTAAAAATACCTTGAGTTTTGAATTTGAAAGTGTCGATCATCGTCAAATTCACATCATTCAACTTTTTTATGGATTCTCTTGTTTATTTTCGTCGCATAGACGCCATCGATGAGTTCGAATGCCCCAACAACTGTTCAAGCTCTATCTCGTCGTCGAGGTAGTGATCGCAGTTTAACCGGCTCAGCGCATGAATTGGCAGTGTGCGGGGTAAAAGATGCCAGCAACAAAGTTCCGCATTCACATAGTCAAAGCAATTTAAGCGATATACCATATAGGTAAGTTGTTAGATGAATAAACCGAAAAACACAACAACCATAGTGGATGCAATGAAAGAAATTAGAATTTTTGAGCTAATTTTAGATTAGTGAGTTAAAGACAGCAAAGCAAAAACAAACAACAAACTCATTCAGCTCTGCTCAGCATTTTATGATTTGGTTTTTGAATATACATATTTTTTCGTTTGGTACGTTCGTTCAACTGCTTATTAGTGCGCCTATCAATTTCTGTTCACAAACACACATGTTATATTAAGTACAGGCTCATCAAATCGCTTCATGAATCAAGACAACAAAAAAAATATCGATCATTTTCAAAAATTCATACTTTTTTTTAGATTTTATTTTTATTTTTTCAACGAAACAAAAAAAAAGAGTAGAAAAATTGTGTGTGCCACACAATCATGGTTTGACTATAAAACGGATTTAGCGCGATATACAAAGTAAGAGAATTAAATCGCTTTTATTTCAAGTTTTGTTGAATTTAAGTTGAAATCGATCAATTTGTTTGTTCGCGCGCGCATCGAATTCTGTATCACCGAAAGCAAATAATAAGAAATCAGATGGAAAAATATTGATTTTTGATTTCGGCGTGTGTTGTTCGGCCGTTTCGTTCGATTGGTTGGTTATATTTTGACATTTTTTGTTCATTTTTATGTGGAATTATTTGTTTATGTTCGGTTTTTGTTCAGTTTATATATTCCATTGTCTTTCTCAGTGTATTGATTTACAGAGGCGATATGCCGTCGGGTAATGGTGATGCTGTCAGTGGCGGCAGCAGCTGTAATAAAGAAGTACCAAATGTAATAGCCTCCACTGCAACTGGAGTACACAATGCTTCTAAAAATTATCCGTAAGAGAAAGATTCAATCACTCGATGTGCGTGTTCGTATGTGTCTGTCTATGTAATTTTATGCGTTTTTTAACAATTGATTCTCGTTCTTCTTTTTATATAATTATTCAACAACAAAACAAGTTTGCCTAAACAAAACTATAAATAAATACAAAAAAAAAACAAAGAAACCAACAAACAAACAAACATATAATCTAATGTAATTATAAATTACTTTTTTTCCCTGTTGTCACATCTGCAATATCTCTGTTTCTCTCATGTTAATTGCGAACAATTTTTGTTTGGCCTATTCGTTGTTTAGTTTTCATTTTGCCTCAGATTGTTGTACATTGTAATATTCGTGTGGGTGTTTGCTTAAGAATCTCTGTAATACTTTTCTTATATATTTCTCGCTAACTTGCAATTCATTCTTCCCTTCCATCCTCCTCCCCTTCTCTCTCTCGCTAAATCTGAATATTTCCGCATTCGCTTCACAGTGAATATATTATTTTATTAGTGAATCTTTTAAGTGAATTCACCGCTTTTTCTATCTCTTTTTTCGCTTCATTCTTCTTCGTGCTATTTCTCAAATCATCCAGATTGTGATGATTCAAATGGTGAAGTTTATCTCTCATCATCCATTGAAAACTTTAATGCAATTGCATTCCAACTGTGAAACAACGTCTTTTTGGAATGTGCTGCAGTCACTACATCTGCTTTAATGAGTTTGCATTTCATACGTTCATATGACTGTACGTTTTGCTACACACATATGTTTGACGTAACACTGGTTACATTGACCGGACGCATTGCATCGAAAGCCATTACTTATCACAAACGATGAGCTTAAATAAATCTGTTAATAAATTTAAATGAATGAATTGTTTGGCAAATTATTATGGATCTAGCTGTGTGTATGTGTCTTTCCTCCCCGCCAGTTTATGAAATAGAGAGACTATTCCACAACAGCAATTTGACAAATATCCTCTTGGGCTTGTTTTTCCTTGTTAGCTCTCCTCCTCCTCTTTGGCTCCTCTGCAACACTTATTCATCTCTCTGCATTTATTATGCAATTTGTCAACGAACAATTCAGTATCAATTGCAATATGTATATGAGTTGCCGAGTTCCGTTTGCCTCGAATGTGATTCGTCTTCGAAGTATGACAGCGCAATGCGATGAATTCCAAACCAAACTAATATCCACAATGGAAAATTGCAAGCCAACAACACGTCTGACAAAAGTGACATAAAAACACTGACTGTTTCAATTAAAATGACAACGAGACTACGACGATTGAGTGGGCTCAAAATGTATCTAGCTCTATGAGTGTGTGTGTGTATTTGCTGAGCAAATGAGAAAAAAAAATAAATTGTGAGATCATTTCTATAATTGCCTGAAAATGCGTTCAATCTATGCGCATCACTTTTGAATTTATGTAGTGTTTAATTTGTCTGCTGTTCATGCTATTTTTTTTTGTTTTGCATTTGAATTGATTTTATGTCGGAATTTAAAAAAAACGGTGCATATACTCATCTAAACGAAGAAAAAAGGGAAAAGACATGAGAAACAACAAAAACAAATATTTAATTCCATTATTGCACTGAATTAACTTGCCTTTGTTTGAAGTGTATACTCGTCTCCATTTTAATTAATTTAGAAAATTCACTCTATCGTCACAAACAAGCGCCAGCAAACTAGTATGCAAATAAATGGAGAAAGATGGATGATTTTTTTTAAAAGCATCTGCTGCTTGCGTTTTTTTTTCAACTTATAATTGTGTTTGTGTTGTGTGTACGATTTGATTTGTTTTATTTTCATACTTTTTCGCTCGTTTCCTTTTTAAATTAATTACCTTTTTTTTCGTTCGAATTCTGTACAAACACAAACAAGATCAAGTATTTCCGGTGGTATACCATACCCGCTCACTTCTAAATCTTCACATAACCCATAGAATGACACATATTTCCTTTGCGTTTGTCATGTTGTTTTTAATTCTTTCGTTTTAGTTTCAATTTTGTTCATGCTCCGCACAAAATTCCATCAATTTGATATATATTCACTATTTGTTGTAAAACACTGTAACGTATAATTAGATTAAAAATCCGTTTATATTTTATAATCCCAAGTGGCACTTGTAATTTTAATGCTATATTTATCTCCCCATTGAATTTGTAGATTGGCTTTAACTTTGATTGTATATTACACAATAAGTAAAAAAAATAATTGATTGAATTTCGTACCATTTTTCATATAGATCCACGCGCAATTTTATTTTCTTTTGTTCCTTTTTCTCTTTATTTATTCACATAAAAGTCAATTGTAAATATTTCACAATATATATAATATACAAGTGCAATTAAATGCATTTCCCTCGGTACTTTATCCTCTCTTTCTCTCTCTCACTTTCTCTCTCAAATCAATCGATGTTGTCACCCAATCGGAATATGTCGTTTTTTTTTCTGGCGATTCGATTTCAATGCTTCCATTCTTTTTCCATTCTTCTATGTCTTTTTTGTTTTTCGGAACAATGATACACAGAGAAGGGACGAAGCTGATGCCTGAAAATTCCGAAACAAATTTAGCGCCTGGGGCTGCTTCAAGCTCAGTATGTCCATGGGATGACATTGGTACTGGCGACAATACGGCCGTTTCAGTATCAGTTTGTCCATGGGAAGAAGAAGAACCACCGACAACATCAAAACAGGCCATTGCTAGGTAAATATATAAAATGAAATTAAATCATAAGCAAATTCCAAAAAATTGGCATTTTACAATGAAAAAATGAAAAGCAAATGAAATCTAAACTTAATTGGTTATTGTCGTGTTAGTTTTCTAGCCAGATCAAGAAATAATTCAGCTTTTGATTCCGGTAGCTCGTCGTCTGATATAAGCGAAATATCGGAACGTATGCGAAAAACATGCGGACTACGTCAAAATACACTCGACTGCGAAATGTTGCCAAGTGGCAAACGACTTGCACCCATTTCCACTGAACCAAGACGAGCATCCATTACCATTACGCCGAGGTAAACAAAACAAATTCAACAAAAGTTTCCCATGGCGATTTCAATCATTTTGTCACTTGATTTGAAAACATTGGTTGTCTTTCTGCCCCCTATAATAAAACAGATTATGCGATATGCCACTCTCCTTTAGACAACAAAGTGGTCCAACAACCACTACGAATATTGAACATCAGCCGTCCTTTGATAAATCCAAAAAAGTTGAAAGCACTGTGAGTAATTATGGATTTATTTTGGACATTTCGAAGCCAGAAAATTGACTTTTTTTCGAGTACATTTTCTGAAAATGATTCAATTCTTACTCTTCTTTTGATTGAAAATTAGGTGGAAACAATACCAACCGTAACAAAATCATCAAAAACGGACCTAAAATCACATTCAAGCAGCAGTTTGGCCGCAACACAATGCGACACCGCATCAATTCCATCAACATCGTCACCGCAATTACCAACGAAAACCCGAAGTTTTGATGATCGTGAATGTTTGCGTGCGGCCACAGCATCAGTGTCGGACACCGAATCAGAGGCGGCCAATACAAAAGGCATTGACAGTGGTAGTACAAAAGTGACTGATGATGTATGCCATGATAAGAGAAAATCTAGTGAAAATATTAGTTTACATTGTGAAAATATGGAACAAAATAATACAAACGTTGGGCAACATGAACAAATTTCGGCTGCACTTTCAATTGCAAGTGATACTAATCTAGAAGCAAGTTCATTATTGTCGGACGATGCAAAAGTGCGAAGTGAAAGTTTAACATTAAGTGCATCACCGCCAAAAATAACCGTTATGTGTGCACCATGTATCGATGATATATTGGCCGAAACAGCCGCTCAACAAGCGGAAAAAATTGAATGTGATGTGAGTGATAGTGAAGAGATTATCGCTCAAACTAAACAAACTGACGATGAACCTCTAACAACTACAATAACGACAACCGTTGTCGTGGTGCAATGTTCAACGGGTGTTGATTCACGAAAATCGTCCACATCACCAGACACTAGCAATTTAAAACTTTCGCTAGAGCGAAAAACATCCGATGAAGCACCGATGATTCAGCAAGACGATCTGTCTCCATCAATGGACGAATACGAAGAGTGCCATCCAACACGTGGTGACTATCAATATGATACATTAACCGGTGGTGAGGTGTTGGTGCCTGGATGTGTGGCTCCTGCACCTACGCCCGCACCGCTCATTGCCCCATTAGCCGAAATCGAAATTGATCCACCGGACGACGATATAGCTGTCACGGGAATTGAAAAAACAACCACAATCGATTCGGTAACCAACCTCGATACGGAATCAACTGCCAAATTGCAACAACCACAGCAGTCACGTACAAAAAAGAAAAAACAAAAATCAACCGACAAAGGTAATAAAGTTTTTTTTCTTCAACTTTTGTCAAACAAAACTTTTTATTTCCATTATGTGTGGTATTGAATTATAATTTGTTGTGCTTTTTTCGTTTACAGGCGATGGAGTGCAACCGAAACCAAACGAAGAGAAAAATCGTAATGCCATTTGCCCATGGGAAGATGAAGAGTAAGTAATTTCAACTATTTCAAATTGCTATTTATATTCTTGGATTCGTTTCATTTTTGGTATTTTATTTATTACAATCGATTCTACATTACAATCAATACACAGAGACGGTCCGTCGACATCCGATGATAAATTTGTTAAAACATATTCAACGCTTGGATATCTCTGAGTGCATAAGCTCTCCTTCTCATTTCGACATGTATGTGTGTGTATGTCACCATTGGTGCAACAGAAGCAAACCAATAACACAAAATACAAAGCCAAAGAGACTTTTTTTTGATCGTACAAACAAAACATTAAACAAATGAAGATGAAATTACCACAAACACAATATAGAAATACATAAATATATTAAAAATGAACAAAAAACAACCCTTTCGCCACTCGTCAAACAGAATACACACACATACAATACGCAAAAGAAATTCAATAAACATATTACAATAAATAGCAAATAAGATAAAACAAAATAACAAGGAAATAAATAAACATGATTGCGAACTCACAAATAACAGAAAAGCGGTTAGAACAAATATGATTGTAATTCGCTAAGTGCGTCATTGAATTTGCAAAACACGCAACTTAGTTTCTATTCGACAACAATAACAAAAATACCAAAACAACAAATCCAGACAACGTATAAACAACAGAATTTAACAACAGAAACGGCTAAAATGACAGCAAAACCAATATGAAAATCGCAATTTCAATTGTGAAACACACACACAAAAGATATATTATATGTATATTGCCTGATTTGTGCGCCCACAAAATAAAACATAAAAAAACGAAGATTAAGTAAGCAAAACAAATAAAAAAAATAACTTTTTTTGAGATGATAAAATCTAGCTAGTACCTATTCCCTATTTGTAAAAGTATTATTGATGATAAAAGAACATGAATAAAGAACAACCCATACATTACTAATAAGAAAAGCGAGGACGAACAAAAGAAAGGGAAGAAGAAGAAGAAATATGAATTATGAATATAAAACAAAAACTCTACGTGTATATTATATATTGATTGTTTATTATGATTATTGCTAATTTAATCTAAATGCATAGCTTCTGACATGAAACCAAACACATACCATTTATGAAATAGAGCCATTGGAAGCCAAAAAAACGAAAAGTGAACAATGTGGCAGCGCATAATAGAGGCCAAATAAACACTCTCTTACACAAACTCTTCATTGCGTGAATTTATGCGAGCTATGTAAAATGCGGACACGAACGCGGATTAGATCAAACATATATACGCACATCAAATATTATTCGATAGATATATCGAATATACACATACACACAACCATTTTCGGCTATATATTTTTGTTTTTGCTTGGATTTGTCAAATTTTTCCACTCTGTCTCTAAATCTCTCACTCACTCGTTCAATTTCTCACTCTTGACACAAATATTTACCAAAAGCATTTCTCAATTTATAAATGATATATAGATGAAACAACGCCAAAAACTATAATCGAACCCACTCGAATATACCGAACGAAATCGCTGCTTAAATGACAATGAAGACATCATCGTCATCATCATTAAACACGATTATAACAATAAATCAATGAAAACAATTATAATCACCAATCACAATACACGCGTGTGGATTAATTCTATTATTCGGATTGTGGTGCACACATCGAAGAAGAATTCATTTGCTTATGAATAAATTAAATTCGTTCGGCGACTTCAATTCAAACTAATCTCATTTTAATCACAACAAAATCAAATAGCAAATATGTGAATTGCTGTAAAAAGCGGAATTTTTCTCTTTATTTGACATTTTATCGACTTTGATGAGCATGACATTGTTGGTTCCAATATCTTTACGGTTTAAATGCCTAAAAATGAATTAATTTAAGGAAAATGGTTTAAGATTCATCAACAAAGCTTAGACGGCATGTAAATATGCGAAGCCCCGCATTATTTCAACTTGCCCTTTTGATTGATCAATTCAATAACCAATTTCGATTTTTGCATCGTCAAATGGATGCCAAACAGACTCGTGACTTCATATTTTTAAAAATCTGCAAATTTTCTTACAAAAATATGAAATTATAACTCTTTGAAAGAAAAAAAAAACAATTGCATACCATTTGTATGTTGCAAAGCTTTCTTTCGTGGGAATTTTTCAGAATAAAATTTAGTACATTAAATTCTAATACAGCAAATACCAAATTCTAGAGTATAGGACAGTTTCGTCAACCAAAATAAATTATATTATGCTAAAAAATATAAACAAATTTAACAATTTCACCTATAATATTACCAACAACAAAAAAAATTTAGAAGTTAATTGTAGTCGTTTGTCGTTTATTCGTTGGTAATGGAACAATAAAACTGTAGCGAGAATAAATAAAATACAATAGAGAGAAGCTTTTGAATTGTCCTGATTGAACCTGATCCTGAAACAGACATTTTTTACACTCTTAACAAAAATAAAAGAAGAAAACGTTGGACCAAAGGGAATGATTTTATACGAATTAAAGAAATAAGTTATAAAAAAGTTCACAATTCACCGACTCCGCATTCAAATTCAACACAACCATAACCAAACTAATTGGTTCAAATCACACATACCCATACTTACAAAAATTGCACAGTCATGAACAATGAAAATTACAAATTCACAGGACAACATCATTTCGTGTTTTTTTTTTTTAATTTAACTATCTACAATATCAATTTTCACTTTGAACAACAGCAAAACCTATTGTCATCATAATAACATAAAAAAATATGCGTACATACATGACAAAGTATAAATTCCATACGAAGCGCATGGAAATCATTTAATCAAACTTTCTTTATATATTTATATAGAAAATATATTGTTCACACATTCACTTAATATTATGACATTCATTCAATGTAATACGCTATGGAAAAGAGACAAAAAAAAACAACAAAAAAAAATCTACAAAAAAAACTCTATATCAGATAAACACAGGCGGTGTATTTGACGTCGCATGAGTGAGCTTCGTGTGTCAGTTAAATGTTAAGACATAAGTTTATGAATCCATAATGTTGACAAACAATGTACACGAAGTGTTAAATTCGAGCTGAAAGTTCGAAACGAAATCAGAAAGAAAAATGTACGATTTAGATTAAAAGCGAGAAGAAATTTAAGGGAAAAAACAATTGGAAACTGTATTATGTTTGGTGCTTGTATAAATGAAATTTAAACTCATTATACAAACATAAAGCATGTGAAAGTCAACATAATAACGTGGGACAAACTCATGAAATTACTTACATAAATATTGACCAAGTTTAATCGTTAGATAATAAGGGAGTGTCATGAAGTATTGTTTGAAGATTTTCCTCGTCACTTTTTGGGTTAAAAAATTTCTGTTACCATTGAAACAAAAGTGTCTCTCACACTCTCTTTCAGCTACAGTGAGATAATAACCAGAATGACTTTTCATTTTGACATCGAGATAAAAAGGCAATCTCGACTTTTTGTTTTTGTGTGCAGAGCATTAGTTATGATTTCACAAATTTTCATTTAATGGCACACACTTTCAATTGGTTTGATGGTCGCCTAGATTTTTTTTATTGGTAAAATGTGCATTTAGAGATCCACATAAAAATAACGCGCTTCATTTACCCAAACAATTCGACATAGACAAATACATTTTTAGGATATAGGGCTCTATTTATAAATAGATAATGTATATGAAGAAAAAAAAATTCCCCAAAGAAGCAATAACCCAGATTGCTATTTTGCATTCTGAGTGTGTACAATCTATTCTTTCGACAACATAATGCCGAACAATATAAACCGCATTCAAACCATAATGCATTGGATACCACAAGCATGTTTATCATAAGGAGATATGTCGATAATAATGTTACGAAAAGAGACTGATTCGGTTTTGTGTTCAGCATAAAATGCAAATTAATTTTGTCCAATGCACTGAATTCTTCATCGAACCCGCTGTGAAATTAATATACATCAGAAACCGAACTCTGCTTTTTTTTATATTTTATTTGGTTTGTTTTTAGGAAACCTTTTGATTTGTAATCGATATGTGCACTTTGTTCGAATAGAGTCTGCCCCCTCACAAAAGCCGAACGTACAAAAAAACAAACTGAAACTAATATATATATCATAATAATATAACAATTCCAAGCACAAATTAATTTAAACAATAACAATACATACAAAAAAATGAACCTATTTTTCTTAAAAATGTTCTAGTCAGCAATGAAACGTCAATGCTTACAAGTTTGTAACAGAAAAGCTTTGAATCTAGATGAATATAATGATTTTACATACCAAAAAGAAAATGTAGTTAAACAAGTTACTACTGCATAATAGACATTTAAACTTTCATGCATATATGCATTGTATTGTTTAGTCTTTTTTTTCATTCTCTAGTCAAACTGTCTCTTGTCTGTATTAGCTGTGAAAAAAATCCTTTTTTTTGCATACGAGGAGATAAAGTTGTTGACTTGTAACCATTTCAAGAGCACAAACTAAATTTTAAGCTAAAATAGAATATCGAATTCATGTTCAATAGAAACTGTTGTTGAATTCAAAGTCTGCGCTTTCGTTTTGTCCGCTTTTACTCTGACTCAAAATTAAACGCAACTTTTGTCAAATTATGTCATCAAATAAAGCAAAAAGGATAAATAATTAGATTCGCTTATTTATGTAGAAACGATTTGTCAAAATGGCCGAAAATCAAGTCTAAGCTTCACTCCTTACCGCCACTAAAAATGCTTTGAATGACAGAATACCAACCAATTTCGCCACTACACTTACACGCAAAGTTTGCGCTCCAAAATACAACAATAGCAAAGAAAATGCAAAACTCAAGCAAGCCGAAACGAAAATTTATTGTTTAGATTATGTATTAGCCAAAGGAAGAAAATATAGTTAAAAAAAAGTAACAACTGAGTATAGAATACGTTAAAAAAAAACTTGGAAAATAACTTGTGATTATTGCTATAACTAAATGAAAATTAATACTAAAATTGAGATAAAAATTGAACTATTTCAACATTTAAATTGAACGAAAATGCTTTTTGCGAGAAGGGAAAAAATAAAAAAAATGGTGCAAAAAAAAAATAAAAAATAAATATATAGTGAATTAGAAAAAGGATGGGTTCTGAGAATCTGTGTCTTATTAAATGATGTTGACTGGAAATTTTTCAGAACTCTTCGGACAGACACAACGAAATCAATGGTGATTTTTTGTTCTCATTCAGAATTGCCGTGATTCTACCGTCAAGTAAGCGCTAGATTCAATTATGGCCTATAAAATTTGTTAAAGCCATAAAATTTATTCGCATTTTTCCTATTGAAAATTAAAAAAAAATGAAGTAAAAAATTGTTTACAAAAATTCGAACTCGACGAAATTTTTTGTTCACAATCAATTTCGCGACATTCATAGTTTTGAATTCAATCTTTATTAGAAACTTTTTGAAGAATGAAAATAAAACTGAATAGTTATTTCTCTTCTCTCTAAACTTTGAAACAATCAAGTCTTTTTTCAAACTATTCAAAATTTCTTTCAGACCGAAAATTAAACCAAACACACACATTTTTAGCGAAAATAAGTTGACAACTGTAGAAATAATAAATAAAGAAATAAAAAAAAACACTAAACAACTACAAACCAAATGAATGGAAAACTGAAGCACAAATATTGTTGTAAATCAATGTAAATCTTATAAAATAGCATCAAATCAAGAAAATAGCAAGAATTTCCGATGAGATTGGCAACGGTGCCAAATGGGCAGCAGATAGAGCTGTGGCAACATCAACAATTGCCCATTGCTCTTTTCATCTCTTTGTCTGTTTTGATTCTTTTTCAAATTGAAATTTAAAAATAAAATTCAACTTTTTATTCGTTCACGTAGAATTTACGCCAAAGCATTTTCTATCCAATTTATTGATTTTATAGATTTAGGAAAGAAAAAATACAAAATCGAAACTACTTTCATCCTTAAAAATTCATTTTTATTCTCTCTTTATGTTATTTAAAACCTACCGTGTATACCTTACCCGACCTTACCACCCCGCTAACATTCACACTTTTTATGACGAATCAATATGACGATTGTTTTTGTTTTTATTTAATTTCATGTTTGTTACCATTTCATTTTAAAAAATCAAAGAGAAAAAAAATGAAACAAAAAAATTTTTACAATTTTTTATAAACTTCTTCGGTTTTGTTCTTGACAATTTAATTTAAAATACGTACTTTTAGATGATTTTAATGTGACAAAAAAAAGAAGAAGGAAATACACAAATATAAGTATATTTGAGGTGTAGGCGATTGGCTGTATTTGATTGTAGGCTTGATGTAGGTATTGGAGGTTACTACAAATCTACACTAAACATCAGCTGCGGACAATCGCATGCATTTTTCACATATGCATTGAATTATTAATCGATAAATGAACTTAGGAGAAAAAAAAATCTTTAACAAAATATTATAAAATGTATGCTTGTGAAACAAAAAAAAAAAAACACATACAAAAAATAAATTGTGGAATTATTTATAGTATTTTGAAAGGGCAAGTGGCAAACATCTTTGAAATGAAAAGAAGATAATATTTATATTTAAAATGAAATATTTATTCAAAACCAATGTGTATTTTTGGATTGTTGAACGCAGGCTAACGAAAAAAAAATGTTATTATGTGGAAAAGACAATTAAAATGCTGGCGAAAATTTCAAAGTAAATACTAACTGAAAAAGATCCCAAACCGGAACAATGTAAAAAACAACAACAACAAAGTCAAACAAAAATGAAAACTCATGTAACAAAAAAAAACAACAACAACAACTAAATATGATGATGTTAGTTATTAAAGATTATTATTAAATAATAAATTATATTACAACTAAACTGAAAAACATTATAAAAAACTATTACATCATAAAAAGAAAAAAAATTATTGTAGATGTATAACGAAATAAAGGTACAATAATGTGTTAAATTCTGTGTTTTTTGTTGTTTGATTTTTCTGAAATTTCCAACATTTTGAATGAATAAATTGGTCTTTTTTTTCTGAGAATCTGACATTACTGTCTTTCAATGTAGAAATCGAACTCGTTTAATCGTTTTACGGTTGTGGTTCCGTGCGCATTGCCAGCGAAAATAAATAATCTCACAAATGAACGTAATAATGCTGACACAATAGCCCACAAATATCATATGACTGGAAGCATCGTACAAGTCTTTAAGTTCAATTTGATTTCCATACCCGGTTTCCTCGAGAAATCTAAAAAAAAAATGCCTTTGTAAAACGCAAAAAAACCACTCGTGATCTCATCTTCATACTTATAGCTTGTTCCATGAATTTGATTGAAAATTCGATCCAGAATGCCAGCCTCAAAGTAATGTCGTACCAACATTTTGATGGTATCATAATGCATCGATCCTTTTGACACTTTAAACACTTGCTGAAAATTAATATCTTCCTTGAGAAAGACAACACCATCGTGTCTTTCCACGGTTTTGCTAAAAGATCAATTTAATTAAACTAACATTTTTTGAATTCAACAAAATTGGATAAAAAATACTTTGCCACGTCACATGATAGAAAGCAACCTCTGCGTAAGTATAACCCTGTTGTTTGATTTGTTTTTCTTATTTTTATTCCATATTTCTGTTTAAATATCGAGATTGATCATTTATGCGAACATTACCTTGTTTCAGTTCATATAGGCAAGGTTCTCCGATTCCGAAAGTTATGGGCCCTGGTGTGTAGCTCTTAAACCGACTAATTTCGGCATCGCTCACGAGACTAATTGGCGGTGAAATAATTTGTGTCGTAAATACACTTAATAAAATCGTACCCATTAGAAAGTTTTGAATGAATTTGAATGCCAAAAACCATTTCTCATGAATCGTTGTCGAAAACATTGGAATCGCAAGCATTAGTTGCGATTGAACGGTAAAGGTGAAAGACTGGGCGAAGGCTTCATCGATTGAATGTCGCATTCTTTCAAAAGGCACAAGATAAATTAAAACATTTAAATTCAATTGTATGATTTGATTTTTATATTAAAACTACCTATGGCGAAAGACGAGATAAAAAAATATCATATTAATCAGAAGAATAATCGAGTTCATTATAATCAATGTGCTGGAAAAGTTTAAGATGGTACTCGGCGACATTATTTTTGTGTTGGCATAAATCAAGCAATATCGATTTTGATAATGTGGCCAAATATTTTCCACAAATGATGAATTATAAATGCCATCATTCTCATCAAGATTGATAAAAATGTCGATACTTGTATTTCGTGAAACAGAGATTTTATTCAAATAGTCGACGGGCACTTTTAAATCGTTTGCAAACATATTAATAACCATCAACATTGCAGTTGATACGAAAGTGTATGCACTGTAATTGTTTTCGTCATCGTCGTCTTCGATGAAATTAAAAAACACTTTCAGTGTATTCTGCTTGAGAAAAATCAATTAAAAGAAGAGATTAAGTCAGAATAAGTTTTAATAAATTCAATTTGAATACTCTCACCGCACTGAATTCTGAATCCATGTTCCACAGAATATATTTGTAATAGTTTTGCCAAAGACCCGCACTTACTGACTGGCAATCACTTCTATGAAGTGACTTTATAAAGTATTTCCATCTATATACCCGAAATATTGGACAAAAATACCTTTTGTTAATTGAAATTACAATTTATTGATCGTTACTTGATAATCTTCTGAATAATTTCGCGAATATTAAATAAATTACTTACTAATGTCACATTTGAATGTCATAATTACATTTAGTTCATTCAATCAGACAAAATGGTCTTAGTCTCGACTTATACAAAATGAAATTATTTCATTATTAGAATAGAAAATGGAATATTGTATATAAAATTCGTTGTTGCCAAGAATATGTTGACGCCTTTGTCCATTTTGAAACAATATGATAGGTAATCAAATTACCAATATGTTCTTTAAAATAGGTGCAGATTAAACCATATGATTTTTTCAATCTCTATTAATAAAATCACTCAAATGTGAGATCGTCATTGCAAAATTTATGATTCAATGGCTATCTGCCTAGATAGCGTTACGGTTTAAGACAAGCACTCGTTCATATGGTTTTCAAAATTTGTTTCTTGTGATTGGTAATCATTATCTCTTGATTGGAATGACCTCTAACCCAAAAAAAAACAGAGATAATATTCTTATTTACAAAAGAACAAATACACAGAAATGAAATACACTTCAATCAAATTTATTTTAAATCAAGAACTTAGTCCACATACATTGCCTATACGTTTAGTATTAAAACCGTATAACGTGATCTTACTTTTATTCATAAAGACATACACGATTAAAAAGTAAACGTAAAAATTTGAGTGAGAAAAAGTGTATGCAGTTGCAGTATATGAGAGATAAGAATACAATTTAATTGTAATTTCAAATTCATAAAGTGAAAAGAAATGAAAACTTCATTCATTCTTTTGTATCTCATCACTCAATTTGAACAAGGAGCCAGTATGAACATTGATAATGAAACGAATGCACTTCATCAAGCTACAAAAGAGGGTAATTTATTATTGAATTCTCGGAATTTTGTCATCAAAATGATTCCAGCGGGTGTGCCATGACAATTTTCAATCAATCAATTTTATTAGTAATGTAATAGGTTATTCTCTGCGACTTGCAATTGTATAGAAGAACTGACAATCAAATAATTTATTTATAAGGATAAGACAGACGAAAACAATTCGAAGAAATTTTGATATCAGAGGAGAATTTAAATTAATAATGACCAAAATTGTGAAATGATTTTGAATATTCCATATTTGTATTTGTACACAAATTTCTACAATATTATACGCTGTTTTTATACAGGCTCACATATCACTTACAATTATCAACAGATGATTCACATTTCACTATATGTTTCTTTCTATAATTTTTTTTTAACACAAAAGATGAATTTTGATTAACCCAATAAGTGACATATCTAAAAAAGTGTTAGTCAGGTTGGCCGACCATGCTGGACCGAGTTAAATGGCTTAAAAACTCAAAAATTATTGAAATTAGTCAGTTACAGGCTGTTACTTACAGCTCACTTACACTCAATAATTGCTGAGTTTTTTTAAATTCCAAAACTCCTTCCTTGAATATTCCAGATCAAAAGGAAGGTGAATATGGAACCAAATTAAATGCAAATGATAGTTATGTTCAGATTCTATATGAAGCTGCACGATGGGGTAATATTGCAAACTATCGATTCAAAATATAAATTCTTTCAAAATAGATTTGTTCCCGGAACAAAATCTAATTATTCCCGGAACAAAATCTAATTGTTCCCGGAACAAAATCTAATTGTTCCCGGAACAAAATCTAATTGTTCCCGGAACAAAATAGATTTGTTCCCGGAACAAAATATAATTGTTCCCGGAACAAAATATAATTGTTCCCGGAACAAAATATAATTGTTCCCGGAACAAAATATAATTGTTCCCGGAACAAAATATATTTGTTCCCGGAACAAAATATAATTGTTCCCGGAACAAAATCCAATTTTTAAATAAATCTATATTAGATTGATTTCAACCATATGAATTAAATTGATTGAGTTCAAAATAAAAGTAAATTAGATTGTTTTGAAATATAATTGTTCCCGGAACAAAATCCAATTTTTAAATAAAACTATATTAGATTGATTTCAACCATATGAATTAAATTGATTGAGTTCGAAATAAAAGTAAATTAGATTGTTTTGAAATATATTTGTTCCCGGAACAAAATATAATTGTTCCCGGAACAAAATATAATTGTTCCTGGAACAAAATAGATTCGTTCGCAGAACAAAATATAATTGTTCCCGGAACAAAATCCAATTTTTAAATAAAACTATATTAGATTGATTTCAACCATATGAATTAAATTGATTGAGTTCGAAATAAAAGTAAATTAGATTGTTTTGAAATATA